CCTGGAGAAGTAAATGACAACCTACTCCAGTATCCTTGCCTGGAAAATCTAATGGACAGAGGAGCCTGGTGGGCTGCAGTCCCTGGGGTTGCAAAGAGTAGGGCACAACTGAGCGACTAACACTTGGTTACTTATTTACTCAAAGCTGGAGGAGTGAGTGCTTCAGTCCTAAAGGTGGCATACATTTACTGCAGGTATTAGAAACATTCTAGTCTCTTTGTGGACATATGTTTCCATTTAGTTTGCATATTTATGTAGGCATTGAGTTTCTCATCATATGTATGTGTATCTTTATTTAGCTTTATGTTAGTACCAAACAGCTTTCCAAAAATGGTCATACCATTTGAAATTCTTAGCAGCAGTTTGCTAAAGTTCCAGTTGTTTCACATCCTTAACAACATTTGGCATCATCCTTTTGTAATTTTAGCCATTCTAGTCAGGTATGAGATGATATTTCACTGCAGTTTTAATTTGCATTTCTCTGACGACTAATATGCTGATCACTTTCATGTGATTAGTGCTCTTCCGTATATCTTCTTTTATGAAGTATGTATTCAAGCCTTTTACCCACTTAAAAAAGTGGGTTGTTTGTGTTACTAATAATGTGTACTGTCTACAATTTACAGTCCTAATTTATAGTTATATTAACACTTTCTTTGACAGAGAAGTACTGCAAATATTTTCCCCCAGTCTGTAGTTTCTATTTTTATTATCTTAATGGTGTATCTTGATGAGCAGTATTTTAAGTATAGTTTATCAATATTTTTTTTCTTCTATGTTTAATGCTTTTTATGTCCGCTTTAAATAAAAATCTTTGTCCTAAAGTTGTAAAGATATTCATCTCCTATTTTCTCAGTGAAGCTTCATAGTTTTAGCTCAGGTCCATCTCATATTGTGTTTTTTTAAAAAATATTAATTTTTATTTATCTTCGGCAGTGCTGGATCTTCATTGCTGTTCAGGCTTTTTGCTAGTTGCAGCGAGCTGGGCTGCTCTCTAGTTGTGGTGCATGGGCTTCACGTTGTGGTAGTTTCCCTCATTGTAGAGCGCGGGTTCTAGAGCTCGCAGGCTTCAATCGCTGTGGTCCCTGGCTCTAGAAAACAAGCTCAGTAGCTGTGGTGCCTGGGCTTAGTTGCCCTGCAGATGTGGGATCTTCTGGATCAGGGATGGGACTTGTGTCTCCTGCATTGGCAGGCGAATTGCTTCCCACCAAACCACCAGGGAAGCCCTGACACTGCGTTTTGAGCGTGGTATATTATCCAGTTAGTCTAGCACTATTTGTTGAAACGCTTTTCCTTTTCCAACCAGATTGCCTTGGAATCTTTTCAAAGAATCAACTGACTATATATATCTTATCTATTTCTAAACTGTTTATTCTATTTCGGTGGTGTGTTTGGCTGTTTTTATGATGATCTCATAATGTTTTGATTGCTATAGCTGTATAGTAAGTCATAAAATGAGTAATGACCCAACTCTTTGTTTTTGTTGTTTTAGTTTTTTCTAGAGTTTAGTTGATTTACAGTGTTGTGTTAGTTTCAGATATGCAGCCAAGTGAATCAGTTACATACAGATAACCACTTTTTTTTAAAGATTCTTTTCCCATATAGGCCATTACAGAGTATTTAGTACAGTTCCCTGTTTCTTTTGGCTTTTCCAAGTCTTTTACATTTCCATAATATTAAAAACATTTTATTTGACTGCACTGGATCTTACTTGCTACAGGTGGGATCTAAGTTCCCTGACCAGGGATTGAACCCAGGCCCCCTGCACTGGGAGTGCAGACTCTTAACTATTGGACCACCAGGGACCAGCCCTCCATAACATCTTGAGATCGGTTTGTCAATTTCTACAAAAAACGTTCTTGTGTTTTAGATTTTGGCTTTATCAATTTGAGGACAATAGACTCTTGAACGACTATGAGTATTTCACACATACATGGTATATATTCCCACTTACTTAGATATTTTTAAAGTACAGTTTTATTTATTTGTTTCTTGGCGTTTCTGGGTCTTTGTTGCTGCATGAGCAACACTCACGTTGCACTCTAGTTGCAGTGAGCTGGGGCCACGCTCTCGTTGTGATGTGTGGGCTTCTCATTGTGGTGGCTGCTCTTGTTGCTGAGCATGAGCTCTAGAGTGTGGGCTCAGTAGTTTTGTGGCCCTTTGGCTTAGCTTCCTAGCATGTGGGATCTTCCCAGACTAGGGGTGGAACCCATGTCTCCTACATCGGCAGGCAGATTCTTTCCTGTTAAGCAACCAGGGAAGCCCCTTATTCAGACCCTTTAAAATTTCTTTCAGTAACGATGTCTTGCACACCTTTTGTTAAAATTATTTCCAAAAATTGTATGAGTTTTAAGCTAACTTGAATGAAAATGATTTAATCATTTTATTTTCCAATTATTTAATGCCAGCATGTGGAAATAACTATAACTTCATTTATTTTTTATCATGAAACCTTGCTAAGTTTGCTTATTATTCTAGTAGTGTTTTTTTTTTGAGGCATCCTAGGATGTTCTATGTATTTGATGATGTCATCTGCAACAGAAGATAGCTCTACTTCTCCTTTTCTTTATGGTTTTTATTTCTTTTTCATACTCATATCACTGGTCAGCATCTTCAGCACAATGTTGAATAAAAGTGGTTATAGCAGTTATATTAAACCATTTTCTGTCAATCTCAGGGGTGAAAGTATTCAATGTGCATGCATGCTCAGTTGTGTCACGTTGCGGCCCTATGGACTGTAGCCCTCCACGCTCTTCTGTCCAGGGAATTTTCTAGGCAAGAATAATGGAGTGGATTGTTATTTATTTCCTACTCCAAGGGATCGTCCTGACCCAGGAATCCAACCCTCATCTCCTGCATTGCCAGGCAGATTCTTTACCATTGGTCCACCCAGGAAGTCCAAAAAGTATCTAATATTACACTATTAAATATGATGTTAGAGGTAGGTCCTCCATAGATGATTTTTTATCAGTTTGAAGAAGTTCCCTTTTATTCCTTATTTGCTGAGAATTTAAAAAAAATGTCAGGTATTTTTTTGCCCCCTTTATTGAAATGATTTTTGAATTTATGATTATTGAAATGACTATATGGTCTTCCCCCTCTGTTCTATCACATAGTGAATTAAATAATTGATTTTCTACTGTTAAACCACCTTTGCACTCATGGTATAAATCTCACTTTGTCATGATGGATTGTCACTTTTATATACTGCTGGATTTGATTTGCTACTATTTCAAAAAGGTTTTGGCATCTGTATAAATGAAGTTTATTGGTCTGTAATTTTTTTTCCCTTATGATGTTTTTGTCAGATTTTGGTATCAGGCTTTATAATATCATTTAGGAAGTTTCTCCCTTTCTCTGTTTTCCAAAAGAATTTATATAAGATGGGTATTATTTCTACCCTAACTCAGCAGTAAAACTGTCTGAATTGGTAGTTGGTTGCTTTTAGGATTTTCTCCTTATTTTCGGTTTTAGCAGTTTTACTATGATGTGTCTAAATGTGGTTTATCCTGTGTTTATTTTCCTTGTGGCTTTACTGAATTTCTTGGATCAAGTTTAAGAAGTTTTGATATTTATCTGCTCTATTCCTTCTCATCTCCCTTTCTGGGACTCTACTTGCTTATAGGTTAGACTTCTTGATATTTTCCCACATGTCCTAGAAAGTCTGTTTATTTTTTAAAATACATGTTTTCTTCAGCTTTGAGGGGAATTTACAGCCAGACTTTGTGTCTCCCTTCTATATAGCTCCTTCCTTTCTGGACTGTCTCCCTTCGATTTCCAGTTGTGTGGTAACTCCAGATCTTCAAACTTTCACCCATTAAGTTTGCAACTTTCTGCTGGTGTTTCAGCCACTCCTGCTATACAGACTGCGAGGTGCCCTTAGCAGGGGAACTCTATAAACTTGCGATAGACTTCAGTTTCTCTCTGCTTCTTATTGCTGTCCAATGTCCTCAATTAGTTGTTTTAAAATTTTTCTCCAGAGTTTAAACTGTCACCTATGGGATGATTAATATTGTACCATCTACTCCATCACTGGAGATTGGAACAGAACTCTGCCTCCTGTATTCTTAAGCTTGGTTAATTTGTTCACCATCCACCCTGTCTTTTGGTTTAGAGTCCCAGTGTCCCCAGCTCAAAATAACCAGTCACTAGATCCAAATCCTGTCTCAGGAGTGATCCTGAGTTGGTTGATCCCTAACTTCCTTAGAGCCACTGTTTTAGGTCAGGTTCTCATTTAGCCTTTGCCTGGTCTCATTGGCCTCCCAGTCTCAGTCACTTCCCATTCTGCTTGAGGTGTCTTCCTAAAAAATATTCCTTATGATGTTACTCCCTTGTTTTAAGACCCTCCCCCCCCCCCCCCCCCCGGCCAGGCTCCTGCAGGATTAAATCTTGGTGTAAAGCTGCTCACAGTGCCACTTATGTTCTGCTGTTGGTCCACAAAGAACCAATGCTCCCGATGTGTTAGGCTTTTCTCTGTACTTGGACACATCAGAACTTTCCATGTTTTTGAATTTTTTGCTCTTTGTATCCTGCCTACATTTTATCTGACTTTTCTAGATTTAGTCTTAAAACCTGATGCTAACATCCCCTCTTCTCTGGAATAGTTACCAGTCTTTCCTGGATGGCCTGCCTCTGTCTTCATCTCTCTTCTGAGTTCTTATAGCACTTGTAAATCTGCATTGACATGGTTCGACTGTATCTATCTAATCTATTGACATAGCTTCCTGTTTCCTTCAGTATATTCAAATCTCCTTGGACAGGGTGTTGTATCTTTGAAATATGGTGGTTTTGTTTTTTTTTGGTATTCATAGCATCTAGTAAGCATTGTATATCCTGTGTAAATTCTCTGTGTTTTTTTGATCATATTACAAAGAATAATTTTCAGCAGTGGTCTTCAAAAATAGTGATTTTACATCTAGAAATCAAAGGCCACAGACCCCAAAAAAGAAATGAATCAGCCAGTTCATATACTATTATTCTGTTACTTATTGTTTCTTTAGGAACAGTTACACCTTCATCAAGCACCCCTATAGAGTTCTGCAAGAATGGTGGAACCTGGCAAAATGGCAGATGCATTTGTCCAGAAGAGTGGAAAGGACTGAGATGTACAATCAGTAAGTTACTTGGGATAATACTAGGGTGTGAGATTTAGGGGAATCTTCTGTTTCTAAGGACAGCAGCAAAGCTTAATTGCTGCAGTAACAGTGGACATAATGATCACAAATTTAAGATGTGTTTATTAGCTGAAGAGTAAAAACTGAGTTTTCTTGTGCTATTTACCTGCATGTTCAGTGCACTGCCTTTCTTTTCCAACTGTAAAGTTTCTCTGTAAAACTAATGGTTGCTTTTCTTTCTGACTGCGGCATCTACTATAGGACAATGGGTAATATGGTTTTCCCAGGTCCTTTCAAATGGTAATATGCCATGGTACACCATTTCAAATATCATAATTCTAACATATTTAACTTTTCTGAAGTCAAGATGCGTCTCCTTGTCCAAATATCTACTTAGGTGAAGTTTTTGTTTTTTCTACCTTTCTCTTGGAGAGATGTTATTAAATCAGTGGCTTGACTTCACTCAGTGGTATCCCAGAATCAAAGTTAAAAGCACGTCTTGATCTGCAGTGTGCTTCCTAACACTCTACACACTTCATGCTGCCTGCTTAGGATTCAGAGCCTTAGAAATTCACTCCTATAATTTCCAACATTCTGAACAGCCAGGGTACCCCCACAGAAACCCATGCCTTTGGCTGTTTGCTTTAACCTCCACCCTTGATCCCTTTGCCACTGTAGGCTCTATATCTTTGATTTTCAAGATTCCAACTAATGTAATACACTATCCTTTCTGATGTGTTAGTGATCACATCCTGCCTATACTGAGTTATATATTGTGCACATTTTAACTGAACCTGTTATGTAATGTACTAGTTACTGTAATGGTAGTTACTTAGGTAGATAAGAAAATATGTAGTTGCTGGGTGGTCAGTGAGGCCTATAAGCCTTCTGTTACCCTTCAAATTACACTCTATAGGTTTTGAACTTTGGCTTTAATTTGGTTTGAAATTCAGAAAGAAAAATGATGAAAATTAATAATGAAAAAATTTTGATAATGATGAATTTATGATTGAAAAATATTTTTTCTTTCCATTACAGTTAATTTCTGTGAAAACAGTACCTATGGGAATTTTACTTTTAACAGAATTCCCGTGGGAAGATATGGATCATCCTTGCAAGTATGTGACAAGAACACTCTAAATGGTATGTGCTTTCCCAAGCATCTCCTCTGTCTAGGCATATGAATTGCTATGCAGGATCATACCTATCATCTCTCCAACTAGTTTTAGATCTCTGAAAGAGGCATCAGGGAAGATTTTGTTGAAGGAATTGGCTCCCTTTCATGATGCTAGTGTTCAGAGTTTTGGGTGTTAACTTACATAATTCCGATTTTCCTAAAAACTAAAATATAGATCAGTAGTAAATTCCTTTTTAATTCTTCTTCAATTGATTTATTCTTGAGGCTCCCTCCATCTCCTGGAGTTTGATCAAGTTGAGATCTGTTCTCTCAGTTACATAATTTATCTCAATTTTAAAGATTAGCTAGACTGTGGATTTATACCATATCTACTTTGAGACTTCATCTTTCTAGGTAGAAATGCAGTTGCGTCTGTCCAGTCCTTCACCTGTTTGAACATTTTAGGTTTTCATCTTGGAACATTCTCTAGCTTCAGCATACCTTTCCTGAAGTGTGACAATGTTTTTTGCACAAAGGCTTTCCGAGAATAAAGGAGCAAATGGTATTTTCTATTTCTAATATGCTTTCTGATGAGATCCAGGCTTTTGATGACATATGTGATTTTAATGCCAGATTGGGTAATATCTTCTAAGAGTAGATATTAAATTCATGGACTCCTTTCCTGATAGCTTAGAGCCCATTGTGCCACGTGATTTCCCTAAATGTTTAAACAGCTCTTAGTTTGCATTGATTTTCATCTGACCAGTCCTCCTGCCTCTCATACCTTCCTGGGGCTCATCATCCACTTCCTGCAGAACTGGATATCTCAGTAACTGACTCTAGCTTGTTTATGCAAGTGTTTGATTGAACTTCTGCCAATAATGAACCTGAGAAAATTTTCACATTTTATTTAGATATTTATTTCTGTGTGTGTCAGGTACTCTTTGAAGCACTGAATAAATTACATGTGCTGCTCCTTGCGATGCCTTTCTTTGCTTTATTCTAGGAGATTATTGAGACCAGTATTCCATTTGCTGAATCTAAATTGCCTCTGCCCACATATATCACACTTACTCAAGTGTTCATTATTCTGTTCTTTACATAGTTCCTTCTAGCTTCTTAATAAGAGCTCAGAGGTAAAAGAGGAGCTTCAACTATATTGGTACTTACTTCCGATGATATGGCAATAGATACATACTGCCTTAATTTTTATGTTTTTTATGTCTTAAATATTTCATTATAATTTATAAAAGAGATGTGGCTACAAAAAAAAACTGTGCTATTGAATTGGGAAGAGTAAAAATATCAGATATATACCTATCAAGGGATATCACAATTGCTTGAAATATATTACATTTTTGGAACAAGAGAATCACTACCTTTCACTTGGTTATGTATTTTTCTTAGTAATCAGTATGAAAATGTTTGTGTAGATTTCTAGGAAGGGAGGTTCAAGAGGGAGGGGACATATGTATACCTATGGCTGATTCATGTTTATGTATGGCAGAAACTGATAAAATATTGTAAAGCAATTATCCTTCAATTAAAAATAAATAAATTTTAAAAATGATATAGATGTCAACAATTGGTAAATTTGCTTTTAGTATTATATTAATAATTACTTCTAATTAATGTGGCTTTATATAGCAAATAACCAAAATACTTTTAATGATTTTGAGTGGATAGGTTCATAGTTGTAAGTAATATAGAGGAAAAGATGCATTTGAACTGTGGCCACATAAAAAATAATATCCTACATAAATGTTTAAAATTTTCATTATGCCATAGGGTAGAAGTGGAGTGATCATATAAGAGTGAATTTAACCTTCTGCTTTAAGTGTTGTAGGGGCAACCTCTAGTTTTTGTGTTTCTAGTTATTGCCCCTTAAGCAGCTATCCAAAGCTGTCCTGAGAAGAGTTCACCTACTGATCAGCTGTCCCACTGATGACAACTGGTAGTGATTTTATCTATTTACAGGCTCTTAAGGACTAGCCAGCGGAGGACATTGAGATGCCGAGGCTCAGGTGATAATCCTAGGAAATAAACCTGATGATTTGTTGAGAGCCAGTAACATACTCTGTAGATGCTGCAAAAACTGTAGAACTCTTTTCCTTTCATGTGTTACCCAGATTTGGGTAAAGAAGGAAAGATCACTATAGAACTCAGTATCTATACAGTCCATGGAGTTCTCCAGGCCAGAATACTATAGTGGGTATCCTTTCCCTTCTCCAGGGGATCTTCCTACCCAGGGATCAAACCCAGGTCTCTCACATTGCAGGCGGATTCTTTACCAGCTGAACTGCAAGGGAAGCCCAACAATACTGGAGTGGGTAGCCTATCCCTTCTCCAGCAGATCTTCCCAAACCAGGAATTGAACCGGGGTCTCCTGCATTGCAGGTGGATTCATTACCAGCTGAGCTATCAAGGAAGCCCATATAATTCAATCTCTAGGAGGAAGTTTTCACCTTGTTTCTGGTCTCTCAGACTAGTATTCTCTGTCACATCCAATTCAATGCCCTTATGTCCCTCATTTTTGGAAGGCAAACCTTCTTTGCAGACTTCAAAGGAAGAAAGTAGTTGAATGATCTTTTGAATTCCAGATTTAAAAATCTAGACAAGTGGTATCTGCCTGAAATATTCATGCAGTGACTGTCTGATTCACTTTTCCCTTGCTACGTATCAAAATAGCCCTAGCTTACTGGCTGACAGCAATAAAGATATAAGCTCCTCATAGTCCTGTGGGTTGACTGTGGCAGCTGGATTGTGTTGTAAGGTTTAAGATGATCTTATTCACATGAGGCTTTGGTACTGCTTATTAGCTGGAGGGTTTAAGGTCTCTTCCACATGGCCTTTCACCCTCCAGTAGATTAGACCTGCTTCTTTATATGATGGTCTCAGGACAGCGTTCCAGGAGGGCGAAGGCCTAAGTTCAAGTCTTCCTGATGATCTAGGTTTTGGAAATCAAACAATATTATTTCTACCACATTTTGTTGGTCAAAGCAAGATTCAGGAAATGGAGGAACAGCCTTCACTTCTTGTGGGAGGAGCAGTAAAATCATATTTCGAAGGGGTTATGTGTACTGGAGCAGGTGGTTGCTTCCATTTTTCCAAGTATTCTTTATTTCTTCTTTTCTTTAAAAATGAAGTATAGTTGATGAACAATAATGTGTTAGTTTCAGATATATAACAAAGTGATTCAGATATATATATGTGGGCAGAGGGGCTTCTGTGGTGGCTTAGATGGTAAAGAATCCATCTGCAATGAGGGAGACCTGGGTTCAATCCCTGGGTTGGGAAGATCCCCTGGAGGAGGGCAGGGCAACCCACTCTAGTATTCTTGCCTGGAGAATCCCATGGACAGAGGAGCCTGCGTGCTGCAGTCCATGGGGTCGCAAAGAATCGGACACGACTGAGCTACTAAGAATATGGGTGTGTGTATTCTTTTTTTGTTTGTTTCTTTTCCACTGTAGGTTATTACAAGACATTGAATATAGTTTCCAGCGCTAAACAATAAACCTGTGTTTTTTAAAATCTATTTTACATATGGGAGTATGTACTTGTTAATCCCATAATCATAATTTATCCCTCCCTGCTGTTTCTTTTTATTAAAGCGGGCAATCCACTGGCAATTCGGCAGTGCAGTTTTAATGAAAATGGAGAAATAAAATTACAAAATGTGACAATAGGAAATTGTAATCAAAATCTGGAAACCCTGGAAAAGCAGGTAGGCTATATGTTCCATGAGATGGGCAATGGGAAAAAAGTTCAGACTGTACATACTCTCTGTTCTTCAGATACTTGATGCCAAACCAATGCTTTCAATACTCTCAGACTAGAAATAGCAAAGACTAGTAACTAAAACCATCCTTATATTTTAAAGTTGCTATCCATTTGTGAAAACGGACAGTTGGACATGTTGGTTTGGCAAAGGTCAGCAAATGATCATTTATAGCATTTTTAAAAATTTTTTAATTTTTATTTATTTTTTTATATTTTATTTTATTTATTAGTTTTTTTATTTTTTAGAACTATTTCACTATTTTTAATAGCTGCATTTTACATTTGATATATATTATAAAGAAAATGAAAGCATGTCTTTTCTCACTTTAGTTTTGGTATGGTACATTTTTTAATAAAATTTTATTTTTTAGCACCAAAAGCATTTTGTATTGGGGCATAGCCAATTAATAATGTTGTGGTAGTTTCAGGTCAACTGTGAAGGGACTCAGCCATGCATATGCATGTATCCATTCTCCCCCAAACCCCATTACCATCCAGGCTAGCACATAACATTGAGCAGAGTTCCATGTGCTATACAATAGGTCCTTGTTGATTATCCATTTTAACTATAGCAGTGTGTACATGACATTCCCTAGGTCCTTAACTATTTTTTAAATGGCCCAACATATTTGACCACTGAAGTTTTGACTGAAAATAGATACCTAACATTTGATACCAAAAGGAAGGTAGTTTATGGTCTCCTGGATCAGAATAAAGAGTGTAAACAAACTATGATCAAAACCCCTTTGAAACAGGAAGTTCAGAACCTGATGCTGGTCTCGGAGCTGTATTCATGAGCAGGTGAAGTGGGAAATATAATTAACTATACTTTAATGCAAATTAGATTATTTTGACTAAGGATATACTCAAATGCAAATGCAAGGAATTGTAATACCTGGGATCGAGCAAGGGGGGGAAGAAGAAATTTATTTCTATATGTTCCTCTTGGCATTAGGCATGTTACGTGTGTTATCTCATTTAGTCCTTACATAACCTATAGCTCAAACGGTAAAGAACCTGCTTGCAATGCAGGAGACCAGGGTTCGATCCCTGGGTTGGGAAGTTCCTCTGGAGAAGGGAATGGCAATCCACTCCAGTATTCTTGCCTGGAGAATTCCAGGGACAGAAAAGTCTGGTGGGCTACAGTCCATGGGGTCGCAAAGACTCGGACATGCCTGAACGACTAACACACACAACCTCTGTGAGTTATATTTTCATTCTCATATTATAGATTATTCTAGCTAATCACACTTACATGTTATTGAGTACTGCTGTGTGCTAAATACTGTGCTGAACATTTTATATGTGTTATTTTAAATTTAAAAGAACAGCACTGATGTGCTCATTCTATAGATGAGGAAACTGTCTCTGAGAGTGTCCTATTTTGCTCAGTGAACCACAGCCAGAAAGTGACGGAGCCAGTCTTTAAAGTCCACACTGTCCCACACTGGCTCCCTAATCTCAGTTGGGCAAGGGAGTGGGTGAGGATGAGGGTAGAGTGTGGAAAAGGCTGCCAACCACATAGGTTGTATGGCTCAGACAGTAAGGAATCTGCCTGCAGTGCAGAAGACCCAGGTTTGATCCCTGGGTTGGGAAGATCCCTTGGAGAAGGGAATGGCAACCCACTCCAGTACTCTTGCCTGGCAAATCCCATGGACAGAGGAACCTGGCAGGCTACAGTCCATGGGGTCACACAGAATCAGACATGACTGCATGACTAACACTTGCACTTTCACACAGCTGGGGGACAGGCTTCATGTTGTGGAGTCTGATAAGCCAGTTTTTGATCGTCATTTCTGTCATTTGTAAGCTGCATGAACTTTGTGTGAGCTCCATAACCTCTCCAAGCCTTTAAATAGGAATGAGGGTGCTCAACTTGCAATATTGTTTTGCGTATTAAATATAACACCTATAAAGCATCTAGTTAAATGCCTAACACATAGCAGAGACCTGGCCATTGAATGAGAAGCTTGTTTCTACTGATTGGACCTTGTTTCTGACTCTTCTGTGAGAGTAAATAGTCTGTGACCTTGGTTTGATTTTTGCAACGATGCTGCCATCTAGTGAAAAACTAAGCCACACAGACACATACGTATTAGCATTTGGCTCCACTAAAGATAATACGGATTAATATATTTAGCCTCACAACCTAGAGCCTGGAGGTTCACTGGTGCCTGGATAGGTTTCCTAGCTTCCCTAGCACTATGAGCTGCAAAGCCAGCTTAAAAAATTTCCATCCCATTGCAGGCTATAATTTTGTAAAATACTAATGAATTACTAGGAAAGTAAAGCAAAAAAGGCTCATAGGATAAAAATCCATTTTACAAATTACTAGATTCAACAGCGTAGAATTGTTATGTTTCTGACCACTTTGAGTTTCCATTTTTACCTCCCTATGGACCCTGTAGCCATCAGTGAACCACCATTGGTCCATGGGTTATACTTTGAGGAGCCCTGATCTGGCATAGTTAATTAATCCTGGCAAGTATTAATAGTAAGGGCTGGGAAAGCCTCTGGCCTACATGTACTGTGTCCTTTATGCAAGGGAAAAAGCAGAACTGAAAAATGGAGTGGATGTGATGTTCATGAGGTTGGGGGTCAATTCAGTTCCAGCTTATTCAACTGTGTTGCTTGCACAGTGTTCAGGTGTAGTTTATAAAGTTAGGGCTTTTTTTTTTTTTTTTAACAGATTGTCAATATCTCAACACAGTCTCAAAGTATTTCTAATGAAGTCCAGATTTTAACATCGAATGCCAGTAAATTAACTCCTGAGAACATCTTGTCTGCTACGAAAGTGGTTGGACAGATTTTTAACACATCCAGAAATGCTTCATCTGAGGTAAAACTCATATGGTTTTTAAAAAAGGGAGGGGAACAGAGAAAGACATCTCAAACTCTACTCCTTACTACAAGGTATGGACTTGGGCAAGGTTTAAGTTGTTCAAAACCATTTTGCAGAGCACTCTCTCTGAGAGATGTTCAAAGGAATATTGGTAAAAAAAAGGGCTTCTTGTCCAAATATTCTCTTTTGGGATAGTCACAAATGATTATCATGGTAAGTCTTCTGGAAAGCCCTGGAATGAACAAGTCTATTTCACTGCATTAATATGTTTATCAATCGTGTTTGACCTTTCGCCTCTGTTCAGTTCCAAATAACTAGAGTTCCAAGAAACTCACTTTGGATCATGCTGTTTTAAACTGTGATCCCTTTCTGTTGAGCATATTTGAATTTTAGTCTTGGTTTTCCAAAAAATTGAGCCTAGTTTACATTTCTGATATCATAACCTGTTAAACTCTGGTACCTGAAAATGGTAACTGCAGGCAGCATTCACCAATTGGCACAGTTTAGGTACTGGCCCAGCAGGGTTTATAAACCACCAGTATGGAAGGACCCAGTGTCTGCTAGTTGGATATCAGCATGGCCTGAAAGCATCTGTTTTATTCTATTATTTTTAAATAGTTAATTTTAAAAAAAATGTTTTTTGTTATCCTAGGTCATTTGGAAAGAAAGTGGGATTCAAATTGCAAGTTAATAAATACGGAATTGAAAGAAATATAATGACCACCAAACATAGAATTTATGACAGGATTAGCCCATAAAGACAGAATGGTGTCACTATTCGTAAAGAAGGCAGTTAAAATGTAATCAGGTGTGGAGACATTATGTCTGACATATTTCTGAGTTTTTAATTTTAATAAAACTGGAAATAATTTTACTAAGCCTATTAGTTACTAACAGTTAGAGTAAGTATAATTAAGGTCTTATATTAAGTATTATGGACTGTAATGTTTTAAAGAGCCCTGTACTCTTCTTATTTTTTTTCTGCCTCTGTATCCAAGCACCTGCTTTTGTGCTTTTGGGGGTGAGGGTGGAGGTTCTGTGAAACACCTTGAGGTCAGATTCAGAGACCTAAGCCTCCTAATTAACTCAGTTTATGTTTTCACTGTGCCTCGCCTTTATTCTCTCTGCCTTCTTAGGTAGATTAAAAACCAAAGCTTTCGTTTTGAAAAACATCTCTAGATTACCATACCAACGGTGCCACTTGATGCCGTGATCATTCATGGCAACTCTAATGATGATGATGCCGTGCGAGGCGTCTTCTGTGATAACCAGTGCCTTCTTCCTCGCAGGCGAAAATAGTTGCTGTGACAACAGTGAGTCAACTTCTAGATGCCAGTGAAGATGTTTTTCAAAGAGCTGCTTCTGCTGCTGATAGTGATGATACCTTTGCAACGTAAGCACAATTCCAGTTTGGAAGGAAAACCTAATGCAGTGCTTCTTACTTTCCTAGGTTACAGCATTAACAGAGGTGTCTTTATTTCTCTCGCGGATACACTAAACGGCTAATTCTCTGGAGTGCAGACTAAAGCCGTAGCTTTCTAACTCCTCATTGCAAGGGTGGCCATGGCCTGGGATGTAGAGTAACTGGGATGATTCAGATCAGGACTTGTTTTCCCAGCCTGAGTTTGGCATGGGCCAGGAACCACTGCATGCATAATTCTTCCAGCTCCTTTCTCAGTGCACAGAACTGCAAATAACAGCATAGCTTTGCAAGACACATTTCTAGCTCCCCTGCACCCCCAACCCCACCCTAGTTCAGCTCTTCCCAAGATCCTAGTGTAGTTTGATTAAGTTTTCTTTAGCTTTCCCAAGGCTACACTGAAAAAAAAAAAAAAAGAGGATCCAACTCTGCCTGCTTTCTCTCTTTTGGATTCCTATGTCACGGATTATGTCTGGTTGCGCATTTATACTAAAACTTGTGTACTTTGTTCATAGAGGTCTCTCACTAGGATTCAATGTGTTTTTATCTTCTATACAGTTTTCTTAACTCTTTAAAAATTTAATTAAATATGCATACTCATTATAGAAAAAGAAACTATGTAGAGGAATGAAAATTTAAATATCGTCTCACCTTAACCTGTTGGTGTATATATTCAAGATTTTTCCCTCTGTGTGTGTATATCCTACTACATACTCTTTTTTTCTTTTAAGATTTTTTTGATGTGGACTATTTTTTAAAGTCTTTTGTTTAACTTGTTACAATATTGTTTTTGTTTTATGTTTTGTTTTTTGGCCACATGGCATGTGGGATCTTAGCTTCCCGACCAGGAATTGAACCCACATTCCTGCATTGGAAAGTGAAATCATGACCACTGGACCACCAGGGAGGTTTCTACTACATATTTTTTTAATTTAGAACTTGTTTTTGTCACTTTATAATACCTTATAAACATATTCTGAATATAAATACCTATGCATCTACATCATATTTTAGATTACTGCATAATATGAGTGAACTGTTATTTAAGCAGTTCTCTGCTCCTGAACATTTAGATAGCTTCAGTCTTTTGATATTTTGAGCAATCAACATTGTTGTACACAATCTTTGTTTGCATGACCTATTGTTTCCTAGAAGTAGTCCTCAGTTCTCTAATAATTATGACCAGTACCTATTTAGTGTTGAGTCTCCAAAGTGGAAAAAGCACAAAAGCAGGAAACAGAGAACATTCACAAGATTATACTTCTGAGAGATGGCGGTGGAGGTGTAAACAATTGAACTGGTGTATTTTATGACTTCAGATTTCACTGGGAGTCTGGATCCTTCTCACTGGCAGTGTAGATGCTCCCATTTTTCTTGAAGTTGGAGAAGGACGCACCCGTGAGATCCAGAGTCTGTGTTCACTGAACTCCCTCCAGAGCTGGAGGCTCTGTGTTTACAGTCTTGCTGGAGGCAGAGGAGAAGAGTGGATGTTTTTGGTGAGAAGGCTGAGGAAGGAGCCACTGCGGGATTCAGCTGAGGAAGTCACAGATCATGAGACAGATGAAAACACTGTCCCAACAATAAACAGTTATGATTTTTATTGTCTTCTGGCATGGAAGGAAAAAAAAAAAAAGGCTGTGTGATTTATGTGTTAATTCCAAATGGCATCAAAGAAGGTGTGTAAAGGAATAAATGAAACATTTAAATATAGGACGTGTTGAAATATGAATTGATAAAACCACAATCAGACCCTCCTTCCTCCCGTTCTGAATTTCTAATCTACCTATTTTTCTAATGATGGGCTATCAGTTTACCCTCTCCCAGGTGATCTTTTGCGTAAACTGCTGTGGACTCAGGTCTTTGTTCATGTAGATAAGACTTCTGTCTTCAGCTTCTAGCTCTAAGATCAGGTCACCAACCCTTTAGAAAAATCTTGGTGACCTGCCACCAGAGGTGCTCTCGCTCCTCTCTCCCTTGGAAGGAGATTGTTCTTGAGGCAACTCTTCCACTGACCTGAGACCAGTGTGCAGATTCTCCTGATAGACACCAGCCTTCATGGTGTATCTCACTCTGACTTTCCATTCTTTCATTCCCAGGGGAGGGAAATAGCTTCCCTTATTTTCAACAGGAATAATTAAGCCTCTCATTTCAAATTTGTATTTGTCCTTACAATGACATGCTGTCTTTCCCCAGTATACATGGGAGGTTGGTTCCAGGACCACACTCTCTCTTACCTCATCTGCTCCCGACAGATACCAGAATTCCCAGATGCTCAAGTCCCTTATATAAAATGGTGCAGTTGGCTCTTTGTATCATCAGGAGGCTCCACATTGGCAGATTCAACCAACCATGGATGTGAAACCTGAGATAAGGAGGGCCAGACATAAAGACCTCTCTGGGCCCTGTTAAAGCCAGGCTTTTCTGATATAATTGCCGCACTAGTGGAAAATTCCTGAGTGAAAGGGGATCTGATTGCTTCTTCTAGTCATTTGTACCAGGTTGATGGCCAGTCTCCTGACCGGCACCCACCTATCATCCGATCATAATGATGAGGAGGAAAGAATATTATGGGAGGAATAAACGCCTTACACGTGGCCAAGGCTAGAGCAGCCCTTAAAAACGGCAAACACTCCCACGCATCTAGCACATTTTCCCTGTTAGTCTTCAATGCCTGAAGAAGCTTCTCTTAGTGTCCGCAGTGTTTCACAGGTACTGAGCTTTTAGTGGATGCTCAACAGATACTGTTGGTTGAATGAATTATGTTCCTAGCAGGCTGGAGCTTTGTTAGGTGCTCCTCCTGTTGAAAGCAGCTCTGGGGTTTCATTGTTATTCATTAAGTGGGAAATACACAGTGTGAATCGCTGAAAATTACAGAAAATAGTATTATGAAAGGAAAACTTTCGCAACAGTGACTTTACTTGACTGTTTCCTTATGAATGGTTACCACATTCTCTTCATGAAATTTCTTTAATTATTTAAAATTTTCTTTTTTTAATGTTACTTGGGGAAGGGAAAAGATATATTAATGGCAGGAATAAAGTTTTAGAATGAAGAATAATTACATTTTAATGAAATTCTTTCATATCTGGGAAAATTAGATTGAACCTGTTGTCTTAAACATAGACATTTTGTTTTGTCAAGAACAGAAAAAGTTCAACTATTTTTATGGGAAACAGGAAAAAGAAACAATCTTATGACTTATCTTTGAAAGTCAAAGTTGCTCAGTCATGTCCAGCTATTTGTGACCCCGTGGACTATAGCCCACCAGGCTCCTCTGTCCATGGGATTCTCCAGGCAAGAAAACTGGAGTGGGTTGCCACTTCCTACTTCAGGGGATCTTCCAGGCACAGGGGTTGAACCCAGGTCTCCCACATTGCAGGCAGATTCTTTACTGCCTAAGCCAGTTTATCTTTGGAGAACACCAAATTAACAGATGCCCCCCGCTCCCTCCCATTGTCCATCTGATCTATCTGTGAACTTGTGCAGAGCAGAAACAAGCATTGTGAAAAGCTGCAATGCTTAGTTAATAGCTGAGGCAATGAGCTCCATGTCCTGCTCCTCCATAATTCCCTATGAACTGTCACCTCAGGAGTCAGCACTTAAATGGTTTGAAATCCGTGGGCTTTGGGTGAAAGGAGGGAGTTAAATACGTGGATATTGAGTCTCAACACTGGAGAAACAAGAATCACGTGACTGATCAATGGGAGGGCGTGGCAGTGCTATCCTTTTATGAGAAGATCAACATAACAAAGACTGTTTCTACTGGGAAATCTGTCCTCCTTGAATTCCAGCTTTCTGGCATCTATATCCAAGGTACCCTACAGTAGGAAGAGTTTACCAGAAAAATTTTGGCTATTCTTAATGGTACATGTGTAGTTTCATTGCATCGTGGTCAGGAACCATGTCCTGTATAACTTTATTTTTTAATTTATTTTTAATTGAAGGATAGTTGCTTTACAATATTGTGTTGGTTTCTGCCATACATCGATATGAATCAGTTAAAAAAAGAAGAAGAAGAAAGTACATGTAACAAAATAAGACTATGATTAAAAAGAAAATCAATCTTGTTACAGGATTGTGCCAATATTGTGATTGCTTGAGTTCTGTGGGCATCCCTTGTTACTGGAGTGTGGGACACACACAACTGATTTTATAACAAATCTCAATAATAGTGTGTTGTTACATTTTTTTCTATGCAGGCTTATTGAGCAAATGGAGACATATTCCTTGTCTTTGGGCACCCAGCCATTGATAGAACCTAATATAGCAATACAGTCAGTTAATTTCTCTTCAGGAGGCAATGAGGGGTCTACCGGTGTTCTGTTCACTGTAGTGAAAGGTGAGCTGTTTGTTTTATGTTCTTGTAATAGCAGAGAATATTCTGCAACCAATAATGCTCTATTCATGAAAGTGTAGACTTTTATAAAATTCTGCTTTTTTTCCTTCTCACAGGAGCTAGCGATTCTCTGACTTCTGGTTCCACATCTGTAAAGGTAGACGTAGACAAACTGAGTCCCAGTGAACAGGCTGAACTTCAGATCTTGCTGAAAAGTAGGTCTCAAATTACGTTACTTGAAAAATGCACTCACATTCATGGAATTAACAGCTTAAAATCCATTGAGCAAGAAATTATGTTTACTTAAGTTACATACTGAATAATTTGCATGTGAGTATCTTTGAGCTCTGACAAATTTTGGTAACCTCAAGTCTATTATTCTAGGCCACAGAGATGATTTTTTCCCCTTGTCTTTCTTTTCAAAAACACTGGAGGGTGATAGAATTGAAATGCTCTGGCTTATGAACACAATCTGTTTTCCACCAAAAATGTAGCCAAATGGCTCAGTTTTATACTTAAAAATACACTTAAAAAGTACTCAGTCATAAACTCTGCCCATGCTAGTGGGATGGTACTCACAGGCTTAAATTCATCCTATTGACTTGTCCTAGGGATACTTTATGTAATTGACAGTCATCATTTAGCAGTACTAGTTTTCAGTTATCTCCTAGTATGGTGCCCATGATGAGCTCCTTATCATCTTGCATATAACCTTTTAGAAATTTCTTGTGTCTAATTTGTCATGGCTGTACTATTCAAAGTCTAAAACTGACAATTTGACTACAATAAAACAGACTGAATGCACACATTTATTTTTATTTTCTCCCCAAATAAAAAATCCAGTGCCAAAAAGTACATATTTTAGAAAGACTAAATTCATAATTCTCATTGGTTATATAATTCTAATTGGCTAACTGATTCTTACAAATATCTTCCCTCCAGTCTTTTACTTGGTAAAAGTAAGTAGTAGCTATCTTTTACCTGGTTTTTCATGTCATTTGTCATACTCAAATTTTACTTTATAATGCAGTCCAATACATCAATCTTTTTTTCTATAACTGGTATTTAAATCCATTGCTCTACTAAAGTCACAATTATAGTGTTCTATATTGTCTTCTGAATATTTTTAGTGTTTAATTTTACATCTAAGTCTTTATTGAACCCGGAATTTGTGTTTGTGTTTGATGAAAGGTAGATATAATTTTTAATTTCATATAAACTATCATTAGAATCAAATGGGTTGAAGTAACACTGTCTAGAGTCAAAGACTCAGGTTGGACTAAAAGGAGCATGTTTTTATATTTTTTAAAAAGACTTCAAGATTGAAGTGTATAAGCAAAACTTATTGGAAATACAAGGTCACATCAACAACCTTGTGTTATAGGGAGAAATATAAAGTTACTCTAGAAACTGAAGATCAAGTAGACAAAAAATAGCTAATAAACTTGACCTTTATATACATTTGCATGTGTATGTAGTTTTATAGACAGAAAATAGATAATAAGAATTATTTTCAAATATCTATGGAGTGCTTCAAAAACTATTAGGCCAAATAGAAAAACTTACACATTTTACCTATGGCTGATTCATGTTGATGTATGGCAGAAACCAACAGAATATTGTAAAGCAATTATCCTTCAATTAAAAATAAGTTAATTAAAAAATAAAGCTATACAGGACATAGTTCCTGACCACAATTCAATGAAACTATAAACGTACCATTAAGAATAGCCAAAATTTTATCCCATTAGAAATTTTAAAATACCATTGTTAGAAAGGAAATTAAAGGACAGATTACAGATTACTTGAAAATTAGTAGCAATGAGAACTCCATAGATGGAACTCTATGGAATATGGACGAAGGTGTAATTAAAGGAAAGTGTATTTCCCTTAATAAATCTATTAGATAATAAGAGAAATTGTTAAAAAAATAAGCATTCACCTAAAGAGGCATAAAAAGTAAAATAAATTGCCAGCAAATCTAGAAAAGAGGAATTAATAAAATGGCATAAATTAATAAAAATGGGACATGATTAACAAATGCTAGATGGATCAACAAAATATTGATTCCATGAAAGGCTAATGAAATATACACAAGCTTCTGATAAATTTGATCAAGAAAAGAGAGAGAAAATATAAATAAACATCAAGGAAGATTATATCTTGAAATATGGAGATTCTTTTAAAATTATAAGATAATGGTAAGCATAATTTGTTCTAGTGAATCTAATTATCTAGATGAAAAGATAATTTTCTAATAAACAACCAGAATACTGTAGGAATGAGGAGAGGGGTGAGTAGGGGATTTCATTTTTTAAATGCATATACTTATATGGATTTGGATTTTACATCAAGCATGTCATTCTTTTATAAAAATAAGATTAAAAAGCAGCCATATTACATTATGGTTAACTTTGTCACTTAGTGTGACAGAGAAGGAACAATTTGGCGGGCTCAGTGTGACGTGAGAACTCTTCAGAAGCCAATGTCTTTATTTCCCAGAAGAGGACAGAGCAAAGTGGGGGCCCTGGAGGATGTGTGGGGGGCTGTCAGGGCCTTACCTACCAACCTCTCAAAGCACAAGACTGATTATGCTGGTCCCACCACCACCATTCTAGTTTTCTCTGTACTTCTAATGTATATAATATATATGTGTGTATGTATACACACACAGAGATACATGCGCACGCACAAATACATGCAAGCTTTTCACTTGTAAAAGATATCAGAGTTTAGGGAATTTATTCAGCTAAAATGTATCTTCATTGTTGTTGCTTCTGCTGTTTTAAATCTGGCCCAGAGGTCTGTGAAGTGTCAGGAGGCAGCTCAAAGGCGGCTCTGTTTGACCATTGCCAAGGCCAGCAGCCCCACTGCAGAACCCCCTGATGCAGCCATGCTCTGGTAGGGTCTCTGAGAAGCAGCGGACCACTTTTTCCAGTGTCCTGAAGGAATGTGTCCCAGTCATCTTTCAGCCTTGGGAAAAAGCCTGTGATTGTCCTGAAATAGCGGAGACCAGTGGTTCAAGAGCTGATGCAAAGTATTTACTCCGTTGAAAGTGTCCCTGCTATGCACAACTTGAGCTGCCGGCTCTGTGATTTAATAAACTGGGCTCTGCTCAGTCCCTCTGAACAGGAGCCAGACCTCCCAGAGCAGCCCTCTAGGTACTCCTGTCCTGATGCTCACTCTCTGCTGTTTCTTAGTTGGTGACTGTCAGTGGGGGAAGCAACATGGTCTTGAGCTACCTGCACATTGTGTTCACTGTCTCACTGCATAGAAAGCAAGAATGTTTACTTTATGCATGAGATCCTTTTGGTATTTTTTTTTTTAGGTGGATTAGGCAGAAATTATGGTTTCCATTTAGAACATAAGGAATCTTAGAAAAAAAATTAATGTGGGTGGAATGGCCAACCATATGTTATATGTGTTAATTAGATGCTGCTGTTAAATAAAGGCAGCCAGCAGACCTTCATTTTCTGTATTTCACTTGAGTGTTAAGCAGTCAGGCAGCTCAGTGACGGCATGGGACTTTCTTACTTACCCTAGGGTTCCCTGATTGATTTTAGTGTCTTTTTCCCCCCTCACAGCTAATGTCAAGGCATGTGGCTTTGTAGTGTATCAAAACAACAAGCTTTTCCAATCAAAAACTTTTATAACTAAATCAGACTTTAGTCAAAAAATTGTCTCAAGCAAAACAGATGAAAACGTGGAAGATCAGAGTGCTTCTGTTGAAATGGTCTTTAATCCAATGGTGAGTTTTCCCATTAACAGAAATAATTCAGCCCACTCTTGAAAAGCAGGGACAGTTTGGGCAAAAGAAATCCACAGAACACCTCTTTGAAAGTTTGTATGACAGGACTGACTTTAACTTCTCCCCCATCCATATTTTTATCTCACTAGCTAAGTGCAAAATTAATTACTTTGAATTTTATATCCTCTTTCTTCTCCTTAATCTGTAATAAAGATGTTATGCTTTGTATCAGCACATATCATACATAATCATACAATTGATTTCTCATATGGGTAGCTCAGATGGGAAAGAATCTGCTTGCAATGCAGGAGACCTGCATTCAATCCCTGGCTCGGGAAGATCCCCTGGAGAAGGGAATGGCAACCCATTCCAGTGTTCTGGCCTGGGAGATCCCACGGACAGAGGAGTCTCGTGGGCTGTACAGTCCACTGGGTTGCAAAGAGTCAGACATGACTGAGTGACTAAAACTTTCACTTCAAGCTTATCTTAGCCTATTTGATTTTTTCCACACAATTAAGCATTTTGAAAAAAATCACTTGCCATTGTTTTATTAATTCACAGTACAACCGAACAGAATTCCAGCTTCATTCCTATGCCTGTGTCTACTGGAATTTTTCCATGAAGGATTGGGACACACATGGCTGTCACAAACGGGGGGCCACTAATGGGCTTCTACACTGCTACTGCAACCATACTACTAACTTTGCAGTATTAATGGTAAGGGTTTACTTGGTAATCTCTTTCTGGACAAGAGTTTTACTTATACACAGGTGTGTTATGTGCTGACTGGAGATAATTTGGGGATTAGTTTCCATAGACACTCAACTCAACTCAGATTAAATGGGAAAACAAGGAATGAAGTTAGAGAGTGGAAGAAAAAAATGCTGGTAAAGGCAATTAGAATAGAGCTTTTTGCAAAATAGTCTCAAGATAGATGCAGTCAGTACTGTGTATTTAATAATGAGAAGGGAGCCCATGTGCACAAGAGGAGCTGACAGACTCCATTCGACTAACTTTCCTGTGTAACTTGCATGTCTGAAGCATGAAGTTGCTACACCCAGAGGTAAGGCTGTATAGCTGAGTGCTAAAGATGGGTCAGTATGTACATAGCTGTGGGTGAGTTTGAATAAGTTACCCAAGCTTTTTCCATTATAATCATCTAAGTTACTAAGTGTATGCCAGAAGGTAGGAGAGGAAGAGCTTTCTAATTCAGCTTGTCCCGTAGTTACTCTATGTGTTCTCTTCACTCTGGTGCTACCCTGTGTGAGCAACTGGTAACAGCTCTGGTATGCAGGTGTTTACACACCTCTTGAGAGTTCTTGAACCAACTTTTTAGGAAGAGGAGCTTCATTTATTGCATTTCCAGAAACCTATTATTCTGGCAAAAGGAAAAATATTTATTTTTTATGCTAGATGGAATGTTTTTATACTGCAGTGGAATGGGGACGGATGCAGACTGTCTTCTTATTAAGGAGCTCTTAACACTATAAATCTTACAAAGAAGTGGATGTTTTAATTTTCTGTTAGCTAAGAAATACTCGTATTTGGGAAGCCAGTGGGGATCACAACATACTGGTATAGCATAAAATATCAAATTAAAGAGTCTTGCTTTTAAAATATTTTTGAAGTAATTATCATTTTCTTATTTTAATTACCAAATATTTAAAATTGATTTTGATTATTTTATAATTTGCATTATAGAGAGATCTGCTTTCTCAATCAGAAAATGGTAAAGATAAAATTCTAATGTTTTTGATATCTTAAGATCATTAGTATTACTGAATAGCTGTGTAAAACTCAGATTGCTTTACATATTAAATGATACAGGTTATATGTTCATAGTTTTTTTTCCTCCTGTTTTGAGGTCAGACTTTCAACTGTTCTTACTAATATCTGAATCTGCCTCAATGCCCACATATTAATATTTATCATTACTTTTGAGTTGCAAATTTTTTTTAAAGGTGATTAGAATTGTATTAATATGTAAAGTTTAAGAGCAGGTAGACTCTGAGTGAACAGATGATTTCTAACATCTAAAGATCTATATATTCTATGATTCTTTGTCATCTACTTAGTATACTACATGTAGGAAGTAATGTGACGTTTTTGCCTTATAATTTTTTATTTTTTTAACATAATTTTGTTTGTATTTGTCTTTAGCCACGCTGGGTCTTTGTTGCTGCCCGGGCTTTTCTCTAGTTGTGGTACACAGGCTTCTCATTGTGGCGGCCTCTGTTGCTGAGGAGCACAGGCTTGCGGGTGCGAGGGTTTCAGTAGCTGTGGTCCTTGGGCTCGTAGTTGCTGGATGGGCCTAGCTGCTCCATGGCATGTGGGATCTTCCCAGATCAGGGATTGAACCTGTGTCCCTTGCATTGAATCTGCAAAGCAGGTTCTTTACCACTGAGGTAAAGCCCTCAGGAAAGCCCTTATGATTTTTTTAAAATCAAGTGAATTTTTATTTTTTCCTACTAAAGCAATACATACTCAATGCATATAGACTGAAAGTCTAGTTATTAAGCAGAAATATACTGATATGGAAAAATGTTTATGATATTTAAACATTAAAATAGCAATTTGAAAATAATCTGATTATGTTAACAAAACCCTGTATATTTGTGCAAGAGACGTAGATAATATTTGTAAACACATTAAAAAAGGTCACCTCTGGGGAATTCCCTGGTGGTCCAGTTGTTACGGTGTGCTTTTCCACTGCAGAGGGCACGGTTTGATCCCTGGTTGGGGAACTAAGTAAGACACCACAAGCCACCTGGCGGAGCCAAAAATAAAAATATCACCTCTGGAGAAGAGATGGTAGAGTTTGATGTGGGGTAATAGCAGTAAAGAGGAACTTGTGTGTTTTAAAATTGTATCTCTATGTTTAAGTTTCATGTTTTATAAATAAGCATATACAGCTTTTCTAATAATAACAATTTGAAAAATTAAAAAGTACAGGCAGGCAAAAATAATTCTGTACATATGTCTTTATTCACCCAGTGACCACCATTATTACCTCTCCACATTTCTAAGAGTACGTACTCATATGGAACATACTTTTCTGAGACTATAAACTAAAATACTCGAGTAGATATAGATAAATTTTACAAAGGTTAGGTTCCCCTTTCTAAAAGCAAAAATGAACAGGATCTTGTGAATATCTTTTCATATCCAGAAAAATATTTCTGCAACTTTATTTTTAGTACATGAGCTTAGGTGTGCAGGTTTCCCCTTGGATTACAGTTGTGTATACAAATAATGTAACAGGTAAATAACACAACTCTAGCCAATTTAGATAACACAAACAACTTTGATTTTAGACATTGAGGAATAGTGTTTATGTCTTCCCTCACTGAATTAGATAACTGTTCTCAAGCTGCTATTTCATGAATACTGCTTAGAGATGAAGGGGTTGATTTATTTCCTTTTAAAATATATCTTTATATAAAAAGACATATCTGGATATTTTGACCAACATATTTGACTGTTTTAACCAATGTAACTCTTTGTGATGTTGACTTTCATAGATATTTCAGAGTAGCTTTTTAAAAATAATGAATCTTAACTTATTTTCCAGAGTTTCAAAAAGGAATATAAATATCCTGAATCACTAGATGTATTTTCCACATTTGGATGTGCACTGTCCATTGCTGGTCTGGCTCTCACAATTATATTTCAGATCGGCACCAGGTAAGAAGAGAAGCAAGCTCATCTCATGAGAGAAATTGTTACCCTGATATTATTTCCTCTCAGCATATTTCCGTTAGAATACAGCCTCTTGGAACTAGAAAGGAAATGAGATTTAGTTCATCATGTTCATTTTATAGGATACTCAGCCCTGGAGAGGCTAAGAAATATTCATAAATAAATATATAACTACAAAATTTGTTAAGTGACTTGAAGGAAAATTACATACCATGTTTATCACGTAAAATTAATGTGGTCCTATAGCTCATTAATGGGCTATCCTGGTGGCTCAGTGGTATAGAATTCTCCTGTCAAGTAGGAGACATAGATTTGATCCCTGGGTAAGGAAGATCCCCTGGAGAAGGAACTGGCAACCCACTCAAATATTCTTGCCTGGAAAATTTCATGGACAGAAGAGTCTGGAGGGCTCCAGTCAATGGGGTCACAAAAGAGTCAGATACGACTAAATAACAACACTAACTCATTAGTGCCATAGTTCCTTAGTATTGAATAGAAGCGTAACTACCAATTTGCATTTGCAAAAGAAAGAAACATTGCTAATCAGCAAGTTTTTGAGGTTAAAGTAAATTTTAAACTATATTAAGTTTTCAAATGGTGAAACATTTTAAAAGATTTTTAAATACATATTTTTTTTCCTTAAAAAAAACCTAATTTTAAAAATAAGCATAAACACATATTTCTTTCTACCTTGACCTCCTCACTCAAGATCCAATTTTGCACAGCACCTGTTATTTTTTGTCACATGCTGCATCTGTAACAATCTGTAAGTGTAAGCATGTTCATTTATTAGCTTATCGCTGTACTGTTTTCCTGTTAAGCATGAAAATGGATGAGGATGCGACCTCCTTTGCTTTTGTTGTTGCTGTTTTCTCTTGTCTTGTTTTTATAAGTCCATCCCAGGGCCGAGCACAGCAACTGGCCCACGGAGGAGGCATATCTGTGAAATAAATGGGTCGACTGGGCATTCCCACCTGGTTCCTTCTCAAACTCAAGATGTCTCACAGTGCTTCTTTTTTTCAGAATTATTTCTTCCTGATAAATTCCTTCGCAGCTGTTTTCTCAGATGTGTATAGATAAAGGGGTCTTTTGTTCTAAAGGTATTGCTACTTAAACATTTTTTTCCCTGAAGTTTGATTTAAAAAAAAAAATTGGAAGTCTACAGAAAAGTTGAAAGAGAATACTGAGCACCCATATACCCTTCACTTGGATTCACCAGTTACTAATATTTTGTTTCCTTTCTTTTTCTGTTTTTTCCTGAAACTTTGAAAGTAAGTTGTAAACATCATGACCATCATCTCTAAATTCTTCAAGCATGTATGTATCTCCGAAGAACAAGGGCATTCCTACATAATATTATTATCCTCAGAAAATTTAACTCAAGAATTTAACATTAATATAATGTTATCATGTTAATATCCATATTCACATTTCTCCAGTTGTTCCAGTGATGTCCATTTTAGCTGTTTCCCACCCCCCCTCAATTTATTTAGTTATTGTGTCTCTTTAGTCACCTTTGGCCTACACTGTGAGGCTCTAAGCAACATGTGAGGAGGTAAATATAAAACTATGAACAAGACAGATCATCTCCCTTGGAATTTACATTCTTGGGGAGAAGACAGACATTATACACATATATACAGAAATAAATATATAATTATAAATTGTGGTAAGTGCCTTGAAGGAAAATTACATGCCATGTAATTATAAGTCTGTCACATAAAGTGAAAGCTCTTCTGTCTGTGCTTTCCTTTGAAAAGACACTAGAACATTTATTTGATCCCATCTGAATAAGTTGTGGTAGCTGCATAATTAATTTGTGTGCCTAAAATCTCACTCCTTCTAATTGTCATCAATGTTGTAAAATCATAAAGCATATATTAATATAATTACTCCTAATTGTCATCAGTGTTGTAAAATCATAAAGCATATATTAATATAATTGGCAAACAGATTTGTTCGTCAGATTCTGAGACATTAGAAATAGAGAAGTACCTGAAGGTGTTAGAACTTTGAGCACATTACTAGGGGAAATAGTTATTTCAAGAGGCCGTGTAGTCTGACAAACACAGAAGGGTCTGGGTGATAGTGAGTGGAAATCTTACAACTTTTTACATACAGGACTGTAGGCTCCCCTGGTGGCTCACATGGTAAAGAATCTGCCTGCAATGCAGGAGACCTGGGTTCGATCCCTGGGTCGGGAAGATTCCCTGGAGAAGGGAAAGGCAACCCATACCAGTATTCTTGCCTGGAGAATTCCATGGACAGAGGAGCCTGGCTGGCTACAGTCCCTGGGGTCACAGAGAGTTGGACACAACAGAGCGACTAACACTTTCACTTTCACTTTCACTTTCATACCATAATATACAGAGAACTATGATATGTCGTGAGTTTTAAAGAGTACTTGGTTTACACCCTCAAATTGTATCTTCAGATGAAGGAACAGTCCTCTGGCATGTTTTACATTGTGTTTAGTTGCTCAGTCGTGTCCGACTCTTTGCGACCCCATGTACTGCAGCCCGCCAGGCTCCTCTGTCCATGGGGATTCTCCAGGCAAGAATCCTGGGGTGGGTTGCCACGCCCTCGTCCAGGGGATCTTCCCAACCAGGGATCAGACCCAGGCCTCCTGCATTGCAGAGGGACTCTTTGCTGTCTGAGGCACCAGGGAAGCCCTCTTGTGCACTCAGTTCGGTTCAGTCCAGTCGCTCAGTCGGGTCTGACTCTTTGTGACCCCATGAACAGCAGCAGACCAGGCCTCCCGGTCCATCACCAACTCCCGGAGTCCACCCAAACCCATGTCCATCGAGTCAGTGATGCCATCCAGCCATCTCATTCTCTGTTGTCCCCTTCTCCACTGCCCTCAATCTTGCCCAGCATCAGGGTCTTTTCAAATGAGTCAGCTCTTTGCATCAAGTGGCCAAAGTATTGGAGTTTCAGCTTCAGCATCAGTCCTTCCAGTGAACACCCAGGACTGATTTCCTTTAGGATGGACTGGTTTGATCTCCTTGCAGTCCAAGGGAATCTCAAGAGTCTTCTCCAACACCACAGTTCAAAAGCATCAGTTCTGTGGCACTCAGCTTTCTTTATAGTCCAACTCTAACATCCATACATGACTACTGGAAAAACCATAGCCTTGATTAGATGGACCTTTGTTGGCAAAGTAATGTCTCTGCTTTTTAATATGCTGTCTAGGTTGGTCATAACTTTCCTTCCAAGGAGTAAGCATCTTTTAATTTCCTGGCTGCAATCACCATCTGCAGTGATTTTGGAGCCCAGAAAGATAAAGCCAGCCACTGTTTCCACTGTTTGCCCATCTATTTGCCATGAAGTGATGGGACCAGATGCCATGATCTTAGTTTTCTGAATGTTGAGCTTTAAGCCAACTTTTTCACTCTCCTCTTTCACTTTCATCAAGAGGCTCTTTAGTTCTTCTTCACTTTCTGCCATAAGGGTGGTGTCATCTGCATATCTAAGGTTGTTGATATTTCTCCTGGCAATCTTGATTCCAGCTTATGCTTCATCCAGCCCAGCATTTCTCATGATGTACTGTGCATATAAGTTAAATAAGCAGGGTGACAATATACAGCCTTGACGTACTCCTTTTCCTGTTTGGAACCAGTCTGTTGTTCCATGACCAGTTCTAACTGTTCCTTCCTGACCTGCATACATTAGAAGCTCTGTTTTACATTATAAGACCTTGTTGTGAGCCATAGAAATATAAACATATTGTGGACTAAGCACCACTTTGTCTGATGGATAATTTGGTCCTGGCTGCCAGGCCATCTGCTGCATTCCTTTAGTTGTATCAGGTCACTTGGAGGGGGATATACAGGGCCTGGAAATTCCTGGAAATAGATTTCACAAAAGGGCATTTCTGGAGAACAGCTATCACCTTTGATTAGAACACAGTTTCAAGAAGGAGGTATCAACCTGTTTTCTTGAACTCACTTCTTTGTGGTAATCAGATGAAGAGAGATTGTTTCTCTGATGTAGTTGGGAAGGTCTGTCTACCAGCTGGCCCACCTGGGCTATGAACTAAGTTTACATGGGTACTTTAATGTCCTTTTGTTACCTCTTGATTTCACTAGAGTTTCTTTTTTGTAGCTGTTTTGTTTATTTAATTGTATTTTTCATTTTCAGGAAAGTCAGAAAAACCTCAGTCACCTGGGTGTTGGTTAGTCTGTGTGCATCAATGTTGATCTTCAACCTCTTCTTCGTGTTTGGAATTGAAAACTCCAATAAGAACATAAAGACCAGTACTAGTGACACCAGTGGTACTAACTTGAGTAACAATGAAATGCTCAGACAAGACACTGTTGTCGTCTCGAATCCCAAATGCACTGCAGTTGCTGTCTTGCTGCACTATTTTGGCTTAGCGACCTTTGTCTGGATGGGACTCAGTGCAGCCCAGCTCTACTTCCTGCTGATCAGGACCATGAAGCCGCTTCCTCAGCATTTCATCCTCTTTAACTCTTTAATTGGATGGGGTAAGAGTTTGCTTCTCCACTTGCTCAGAAATTTAAGTTTGTTGAAAGCATTTAATTTAAGCAAACCCCTATGGAAGACCTAGTAGTACCAGGCCTTCAGATAGGGGAGATGGAAAATCTGGCAATCACTAAGAGTGCCTTCTGTCTAGTGACGGAGTGTCTTCTGGGAAGAAGGCAGATATGATCCAGGCAGCTATCCTAAACACATCCTAAGCTAACTTCAAAATGTTCATTTCCTTTAACATCTCAGTTAATTAGACTTGAAATTTAGACCACATGTAATCAACCTTCTGGCTACTTTAAAAAAAATATTTCAAGACAGTCAGAGGGTCTCTTTCAAGAAAAATAATTTGAAAAATGTAATGGGTTCCTGCAAAGGAGAGTTGTTTTAGTGTTATCTAAATTTAAATTTATTCAAATGAAAGAGGAATTGAGCCATTTAAGAGTGGACATTGTGTTAACAGTTACAAAAAGATTGGAAATGGTATAGGATTGGTACGCATAGCCAACATTGAAAGGGGAAAAGAAAACACTGAAAAACTATGTCCACTGTTGAGCTGCATCTGTAGATCACTTAGTACATTGTATATAGTGGAAAGAACAATATATCCTGAAAAAGGTCAGATGTATAATTCAGTCATAGTCTTTTATAATTAATCCCAGGCTTGGGTAAATTATTTATTCTGCGATTATCTTTATCACATAGGAGTCCCGGCTATAGTGGTAGCTGTGACAGTGGGAATCATTTGTTCTCAGAATGGAAATAATTCACAGTGGGAATTAGACTACCGGCAAGAGGAAATGTAAGTTTTTATTTTTTTGAGTGTAGCTATTCAATGACATCGAGTCCAAAGGTCCTTGTAATATGCATCTCACTTTATAATTGTCATATTATAACTGTGTATTTTAAATTCCCAAAGAGCACATTATATTTTAAATGTGATGACATGAAAATTTCCTATGACAAATCCATTTACAAAGGAAGTAATTACCTTCCTTCTAAATTTATAATTGTGAACTTTTTAATATTAAATTTGTCTTCTTTCATTACCTCTGAAAATCATCGGAAACAAGAAGTGTGATCCTTAGTAACCCCTTATCTTAGGTTCTTATCTAGAAAATGGGAATAACAATAATAGTAATACCTGCTCCGGGGTTACTGTGAGGGATCAAGCAAGTGTGAAAACAGTTTATAAGTTGAGCACTCTCCATCCTTATGAACCAATTCTGTGTTGATATGATTATGAGTATTTCATGATGATTTATCATGCATAAATTCTCTCTGTGACTCCAGCATGAATAATTAACTGTCAATAATGGGAGTCCCTGCATGTACACATTGCTATATTTAAAACAGATAACCAACAGGGACCTATTTTATCGCACATGGAATTCTGCTCAATGTTATGTGCCAGGCTGGATGGGAGGGGAGTTTGGGGGGAGAATGGATACATGTACATGTATGACTGAGTCCCTTTGCTATTCACCTGAAACTACCACAACTTTGTTAGTGGGCTATACTCCAATACAACATAAAAACTTTAAAGTTTGGGGAAATAAACAGTGGGAGTACCTGAATGCATGCTGTTTGCTTGAGGAGATGGTATTTGTATGAGGAGACTGAGAAGAAAGCTAGGATGAACTCTGTGTAGTTCTGCTGCCAAATGGTAACAGCTTTTTATTTTTCCTTCTTATTTTATAAATGCAGCCATTCTTATCCTTGGATTCTGCTTTAATTCTCAGACCAACTTAGATCAGAACAGAACTCTCGGAAATGTGCAAGTATACACAAAGGAAGGCTGTGGTTTCAGGGCGCTCACCTATTTCTAGGTCTGACCATGACCAAGTGTAAAATAGGGAGCTAACTGCCTGGCTTGACTTTAGCAGCCATAGGCCCCAGGCACTATTTTTTTCTGTTTAATTGAAATTAAATATCTTTTGGTGAGTTTTAAATTTTTAATTCCACAATTGAAGATCAAGCATAAGATGCAGGTATCTCATGGGAGAGGTAATTCACTCAAATTGCATTATTATTAATTTCCTGCCCTAACAGAGCCACAGGGTTAGACCCACGCCTATAGAAGTCTTCAGTAGAAAGAGGCCTGCTGTCTTACATTTATTCACACTGAGCTGTAAAGAACTGGGAGCAGATTCTTTCCTGAGTACAGTATTAGATGTTAGGCAAGATGCTGGCAACTGAAAATAAGAGTTGGGAAGAAAGGAAAGGATGTGTAACATGAATATCAGCGTCATCTTGGACCCTTACCCTCCCTTTCCGCCCTGTACACATGCATCAAGGTTCGCATTTCTTCAGGATATATTTAGAAAGAGGAAGGACTTTTTTGGGTTTTCTTGAGTCATGCTCCCAGAAATTGCTTCTCAATATACCATACTCCCTGTCCCCCAACCATGGCTCCCAGTTGTACCAGTCATGTCTGAAATCCCTTCCCCAGTTCCCTTGATGTACTGCTTCTTCTGCCAGGACCCAGCTAAGGGGTGACTGCAGGACAGGCCACGCTCCTGCTTAACGCTCTATCCCCCAGATCTCTGTCCCACCATGTAGGCTGCTTCAGACTTTCCTGAAGGGTTATAGTAACCATTGGGACATTATCATGCTTGAGAGAGAATTTTCTGGACGCTATGCTCTATCTGCTACAGCTGTCTTTCCCCATGTTTCATGACAAAATCACCAGGGAGTTAAATGCTTCATCTGGGGTTCACCTATAATGCTCTTCAGACCTCAGGTTCATAGCCGTCTGTCAGATTCACCTTGGAGCTTGTGACTCTACTCTTAATTCTAGAAATCCCATTCCTACAAGGATTAGCCTCCATGTAGAATCCATCTGTCTTCTCAGCAGTCTCAAAATCTGAGTTAGTAGTTTCAGAATAACTAAAGAGGGGCTCGTGAGAACAAATCGATAATGACTGTCTCTCCAAGTAACACGGAAGATGTGGGAGGGGAGGAGGTGCCTCTTCCTCACGCACACCTCTTCACGGCTTGGGCGTCCCAGCCTGTTCCTCGCCCAGGTCTCCCAATCTCTGTGGGGTAACTGAGGCCCTCATAGACATTTGTATGCATACACACACACACACACATATGACAAAAGTACAAACAGTGATTCTTAGAAATCGTGTTATCTAAAGTTTAAACAACTCAAGACTCAAAGAGACAAAGATAAATCTTTGTCTTAATGGTTTCGTAACTCACAAGTCTGTCTTTATCCAACAGAGCCGGATGTTCATTTTCTTTCTCTAGCCTATCCTTCTCTTTTAAACTGTGTTTCTCTAGGCTGTTTGAGTCAGAAATCTGTCCGTCTTTTTAATTTAAAACTTTGATGGCCACTTGCTTAGTCACCAGAGAAGTATCTTGAGATTTTAAAGTACCTCTCAGTAGGATTTTATTAAATTCTTAGCCAAGTGGCCTCCTATGTGTTCTGTGTAGGGGATTGTGAGGTTGGGGATGGGGGTGGGGGGTGGGGGAGGGGGGTTGTCCTTTGGTTACAGATGAAAGGACAGGAAAGCCAAAAACCCTGAAGATAAGGTTTGCTCTTTCTCACCATTTTACTTAAGGTTGGACCGAATCTATCTACTAATAGACTGTAAGCACTCCTGTTTACTTTTAAAATTCATAACAGAGATCTGAATAGCATCACAGTTTCGTCTTAAGTCATTCTTAGAAATATGATTTCTGACCTAGACGGGTGGGATGGGGAGTGGGAGGGAGGTCCAAGAGGGAAGGGAAAATATAAACATATAGCTGATTCACTTCATTGTACAGCAGAAGCCAACACAACATTGCAAAGCAGCTATACCCCCAAAAAAGAATAAAAAATAATAAACTTACTTCAATAAAAATTAATAAAATGAAAGTAAATTGAAAAATAATTTCTAATAATTTAAATTGTAGCAACATTCCAGTGCAAAACAACTTAGAAATACTTTAGCATGTATAATAATGGTGTTTTACCTGCAGAAAACATAAATTAACTGATTGCCAGATATGTGCCAGGGCTTCTCACATTACTTCATTAATACTCCATTGTCTTCCTGACACTTTCCCATGACTGGGAGAAGTGGATGGTGCATCTCCTGGGTTTCCTTCCCAAACTTGCTCTTCCCACCCATCATCTTCCCCTGCTCAGTTGGGGGAGTACCATCTTCCAGGTACTCCAGCCAAAAGCTTTGGAGTCACTTGTAACTCTCCTATGTCTCCCATCTAACCTCTCAATAGATCTTTTTGCTTTGCTTTTAAACATATCTGGAATCAGACTACTTCTCGGCATCTCCTCTTCCTGGGTCTAGGCCATCAGACTGTTGCAGTAGACTCCTGGCCGACTTCCTCCTTTTGGATGTGCTCTTCTGTTATCCCTGCATCTAAAATAACACTTTAAACACTAAAGACAGAGCATGTCAAGTTTCTCTTTCTCGCCAAGAGCACATTCAGTCACCTATAAAGCCCAGAAGTAATTTGTGTCTTTTTACTAATCCCATCTGCTTACATCACTCTATTCCGGCCACACTGGCCGCTTACCTGTTCCTTAAGCTCTCAGCTCAGGGCCTTTGTACTTGGCTGTTCCCTTTGCCGAGAGCACCCTTCCCCTTCATCTACTTCAGATTTTTACTCAAATATTTTTTTTCCATAAGTGTTTTCCTGATAACTCTATTTAAAATGAAACTTTTCCTTCCCAATTCCCCAGTGCAACACACACAGATACACATATACATGGTAGTAACTACCCTCACTACCTGTTTTATTTTTCTCCAAAGCACTTGTTAACATCTGATATATAGTATATATTTTATTAATGCATCAGTTTTATTTATTGTTTCTGTACCAGAATAACTTCACTGAAGAAAGGAATTTTGCTATTTGATTCACTGTTAATATCTTGGTATCTAGAACAAGGTGGCACATAGCATGTACTCTATAAACACTCATTAAATGAATGAATTTATTCTTATAACAATGCCAGGAGATGATTACTGCATTTCATAAATTAGGAAAAATATGCCACCAAAACTGCCACCAACAATAATGAAAAGACAAAAACAGATGCAATGAGGGCTTCCCTGGTGTCTCAGTGGTAAAGAATCTGTCTCCCAAGGCAGGAGACATGGGTTCAATCCCTTGTCTGGAGAACCCCACGTTCTGCAGAGCAACTCCGCCTGGGTACCACATCTGTACAGCCTGTGCTCCAGAGCCCGGGAGCCATAGCTGCTGAGCCCGTGGGCTGCAACTGCTGAAGCCTGAGTGCCCGGGGTACCTGCTCTGCAACAGGAGGACCCACCGCAGTGAGGGGCCCACATATTGCAGCGGAGAGCAGCCCTGCCCTCCGTATCGAGAAAAAGCCCACATAGCAACCAAGACCCAGCAGTCAGCACAGTCAAAAATAAAAAAAACAATAACACAAAAACAGAGGCAGTAAGATGAAAGAACTGATCAAATAATTTTAATCATTAAACTTTAAAAAATGTCTATTCATGAGACAGTTTAAATAATTTATGGTATAATGAAATCATGGAATAATATGCAGCTGTGAAAAATCATGAGGATAATCTTTTATATTCTGATATGGAATAATCTCCAAGATATGTTTTTAAGTAAAGTAAGAAGTATCATATGTTATCATCTGCTTCAGAATCAGGAAAATGTACACCTTTGCCAGTGTACGCATAGCCTAACTCTAGAAGAATACATAAGAAACAGTGAATACCACCAGAGATAAAAACTAGGTGACCAGGGATAGTTGTAGGAAGGGTCTTGTCTCTCTATGCTAATTTGTACCTTTAAAATTTTGAGCCATCTGAGTGTGTTACATATTCAAATATAAAATAAAATAATAATTTACTTAACATCAAACAGCTTGCAAGTGACAGAGAGGGACATTTAAATTAGGACTGCCTGACTCAGAAGTCCACTTTCTTTCCACTAGACCATACAGTCTCACAGAGGAACTTGGCAGGATCAATGGATTTCATTTTTCTAGTCAGTTGAATTCTTGAAAATCATCTCCAATATATATATAAGGCAAAGGGATACTGACTTTTGGCAGGTCTTTCAGCCAAGTGAATGTCAGTAGTGTGAACAGCATAGAAAAGAGTCTGTATACTTTTTTTAGTTTGCTGAAATCATTTCTTTTCTCTCCACAGCTGCTGGCTGGCAACTCAAGGAAGCAGTGGTTTGATAGCAAGTCCATTGTTGTGGTCATTCATTGTACCTGTGACCCTTATCCTCATCAGCAACATTGTTATGTTTATTATCATTGTAATCAAAGTACTGTGGAAGAATAATCAGAATCTGACAAGGTAAGATTCCCAGTGAATGGGAAGTTGTCAGGCATGGTTCATATAGTACATAATATAGCATAGTAATACATTCACTGCTCCTGGAAGAGATTTCAGACTCCAGGAAAATACAAGAGTATGTGGTTTGCAGGACACATTTTTTTCTTACACTTTGTCTCAGAAAGTGGATCGTCTCATCTTCCAGCATCGATACTATAATGTGAGTCTACTGCATTACTTAAATTACTTGTGTGCTGTGTAAGCCTAACTAAAAACTAAACCCAGAGGCATCAAGGAAAAAATTTTATCTCCCAGTCCCAAATATTCATGAAATCAGGTTTGAATAATTAAAAATATGAGAGGGTTGTGAGGAGATGCCAGTGACTGTATTTTCATTTCACAAACTGGTAACTGTAGGTTATATTTTACATGTGTTGCCTGAATCACATAATGACTTTAAATTTTTGAAAATTAGTTGCAAACATAAAAGGTGAGAGATTTTACTTAAAAATTATATTTTCTCTTGGAAAAAGTCAGAACATCTGGCAAGATTGGGCCCACATTCCCTGCGGATAGGGTGTGCACTTTGGTTTATTACTTCCTGTGAACTAATTATTCTATTCTGTAACCTTTATGACCTCAATAAGTATTTTCATTGTCATCACTGATATCCAGAAAGAGCTTTGATTGGAGAGACAAAGAACAGAAACTATTAAACACATACAGTCCTCCCACTTCCATATCCTACAGCATGAGCTGGTTAGAACACATAGCTAATGAAGCTATGAATTCAGGCTTAATTCTATAAGACTGCTAAATCCAAGTAGACTTACTGTAAGTGTATCTGTGAACTTTGTTGGCCACTAAATAGATCTATTTTGTATGAACAGATGGGTGAAAAACAATCATAATTAGTATGACTGTAATCTTCAATGTGTACTTTACCAGTCAGGAGTAATTATCATATTTTCTATATGGATGATAGCCTATATTGAGGGGAACTGTGGGGAAAAGACTATCATTTACACTCATTCAAACCTGTTTCTTAGCAGTGAAGAAAGCCTTGGTAGAGTCTTGTTAGCCTAATTGTGAATTCTTAAATTTCCTTTATACAGAGCAGTATCATTTAGGCCATAGCCATCAAACAGATTCATTTCAAAATTTTGACTGACAGCCCATGGTTCTTAAATTGACTTATTACAATGAAGAGTGGGTTACAGTTTAATTTTTAACAAATTATCTTCTATGTATCAGTTCAGTTTTGCTGTATAACAAATTACCCCCACACTTAACAGTTTAGTGTGACAGATGTTTATTATTTGTCATACGTTTGAGTGCTGGTCAGGTGGTTGTTTTGGTCTGGGCCAGTCTGAATGCTGGTGGATGGATGGATAATCCAGGATGTCACTTTCATGCTGATGTTGGTAGCTGATTGGTATTGAGTGGGAACTACTTAGTTAGGGAAGCTTATCTCTGCTCCTGTGGTCTCACTGTCCATTAAAAACCAGTCCAGTTTCTTAACATAATTCTCTCAGGGTTTCAAAGAGCAATAAGAAAAGGCATACTCTGATGAGCAGAATGCTTTCAAGCCTGTGTTTGCCAAACAAATGCTGATGTCCCACTGATCAAAGTAAGTCATAAGGCCCAGCTCAGATGCCAGGAATATAGACAGCCTGACAGGAAAGGCTACACTTTAAAGGCTTATCAACCTTAGCATGCAAAGGTCCCAGATCCCTGAAAAAGGAATTACTGATCCAGTAGTGATAATCACTAAAACCAAATTTCATTCCAAGGAAAAGTTGATTCTTTGTGAAATTTACCTGTATTTAAGGAAGTGTTTATGCTTGAGCTTTTAAGCAGATATCATTGTTTTATCTTCTTTCCTTCCCTTCCTTCCTTCCTTCCTTTCTCTCTCTTTCTTTCTTTTCATATACATATATTTTACCCAGGGTGACATAGGTTTTTCTACCTGAAGCATAATGTTGTTTAATGAACAGTGTATATGTGGAGCTGAACATGTATTTTCAATAGGAGGTTAACAATAATATTAAAAAGTAAGAACCTGAATTGAACCCTATTTTCTTTCTTGCTTTCTTTTACTTAGCACAAAGAAGGTTTCATCCCTAAAGAAGATTCTTAGCACATTATCCGTTGCAGTTGTCTTTGGAATTACCTGGATTCTGGCATACTTAATGCTAACTGATAATGATAACATCAGGGTCATCTTCAGCTACATATTCTGCCTTTTCAACACAACTCAGGTATGGTATGGATTAGTCTGAAGGTAGCAGACCATGCAGTGGCAGAGATGATACCACCCTGGATCAAACTTTTCTTATCTTAAAACTCTCTGAAGGTCACTGCTTAGTTAACTTTAGGTGACTCTATTTTTAACGCACTTTGAGGAAAGGGGAAGAAAAAAGTTTTTATGACTTATCTACTACATCCTGTCCTGAGCTGGAGTCCATGGAATACAACTGCAATAGAGCTGGACCATGTTAGTCCTTCTCCAAGCAGAGGAGGTTCTGTCGAGCAGCTAGCCTGGCGAGCACCTCCGTTCCTTCTCTCCCCCATGCAGCAGGCCCGAGGATCCTCACCGTGGCTGGTATGGCCAGTGTGGCACTGGTCCCTGGAGCCTGGACCCCTGTGGGGTTGGCTGAATTTTTTCTTTCTCTCTTTTTTGAAATTTTATGATTATTTAACTTTTAAAAAACTTTACTGAAGAATAATTGGCAATAATTGCTTTGAAAGGAACAGAACTTTATGAAGTTGTTTTTGTGACATACGTAGGATGTTACGTGTAGAACTGAAGATGCTTTTATTCTTGAGTCTTATCTCAAGAATATATTTAAAATAATACATCTTTTAAAAATGTCATTCATACTTGTTTAAAATATCTGAATTGAAAATTTATATTCTTTCCTTCTTTGGAAACCATTCTCTTAACGTTTTGCAAGTATCCACTGTGAGAAGCTCAAAATTTAGATTAAGAATTATGGTCACCTTCTAATTTTCATCATGAAAAAATCATCATATAGATGAATCCAAATGGTAACTGAAAATAAAAAATTTCGTTTGACTTCAGAACATTTTTGTTTTTATTCATTCGTATTTGTGTATTATATATTATTATTGTTTAGCTCCTAAGTTGTGTCTGACTCTTTTGTTATACTATGGACTGTAGCCTGCCAGGTTACTCTGCCCATGGGATTTCCCAGGCAAGAATACTGGAACTGGAGTGGGTTGCCATTTCCTTCTCCAGGGGATCTTCCTACCCCAGCAATCGAATTTGCATCTCCTACACTAGCAGGTGCAGTCTTTACCACTGAGCCACCAGGAAGCCCATGTATTATATGGGGGGAATGTCAAAAGTTTAAAATAAAACAAGGAGGCATTATTGAAAGACTTACCTTAAGATCAGGAGTTTCTCTCTGTGCTTCTTATTTTGTGCCTCTTCCTGTACTGAACATTGCCTTTTGCTCTGATGAAATATATTACAAGGGCTTTTCCATCAGTACATGGAGTTTGGCAGAGTGAATTTATACTTCAGTATAATTAAAGTACTCTTCTTTTTAGGTTGTTCCATATCTTGGCTATTGTAAATGTTGTTAATGAACATTCGGGTGCACGTATCTTTTTGAATTATTGTTTTTGTTTTCTTTGGCTATATGCTCAGGAGTGAAACCTGCTTGATCGTATGGTCATTCTGTATTTAGTTTTTTTGAGGAACCTCCATACTGTGTACCACAGTGGCTGCATTAGCTTACATTACCGCCAATGCCTTTTGCCAGTCCTTCTATATTGGAATGTCATGTTATTTTGACATTTTAATTTTAATGAACTTCTCATTAATGATAGTAACTGTTTGGATAATGATAGTAACTGTTTTTGGAGTAACTGTTTAATGGATAGTTAGTAAATACTAATGAGGACTTTTCTAGCTGATAATTTTTCTGTAGGTACCATGGCACATGGATTCCAGATTAGCTTGGCATTTAATTCTTGGCAATAATTTTTTTTAATTGACATTGCATAGACTTTACTGAGATTTTATGTTGTGGAAAAAAGCTGAGACAGGTCAGAATTTTTTTGTTCTCACTCTTATATCACTCCTTAGAATATTTCTTGAAATAATTTTGAACTCATAAGAAGTTATAAAAATAGTACAGAGAGTTCCTATGTAGCCTTCACCCAGCTCCAGTGATAGCGTCTTATATGACTCTAATATATACAATAACACCCAGGAAAGTGACATTGATACAATCCACATAGATTATTTACTTATAAGCTTCAAGTGTGGGAAGCTGTGTGCAGTGTGGGGAGCTGCTTGGCTGTCTGAATTTCTGCCACCACGTTTAATGTTTGTAGGCTCTCACCCTCTATCCCAGGCAGCCCTCTCAGGCATTTTTTGAGAATAATTCCAGAAAACAATAGATGTTTCAAAAGGGAGGGGATATATGTATACCTATTGGGGGCAGAAGGAGAAGGGGACGACAGAGGATGAGATGGTTGGATGGCATCACCGACTTGATGGACATGGGTTTGAGTAAACTCCGGGAGTTGGTGATGGACAGGGAGGCCTGGCGTGCTGCGGTTCATGGGGTCGCAAAGAGTCGGACACGACTGAATGACTGAACTGAACTGAACTGATGGCCGATTCATGTTGAGGTTTGACAGAAAACAACAAAACTTTCTAAAGCAATTATCTTTCAATTAAAAAAACAACAACAAATAAAACAGTAGATGTGTGCCTGCCACCAAATTTGAATGGCTATAAGGCAGACCTTTACTGGTTGCAACACCCGAAGGAAGCTCCCCAGAAGGACAGTAAGTAGTGTAAGCCTAGTCTGGGATTGCCAGCTGAATCATGGAATTGTCACCTGAAGTGACTAGTAATTTAGAAAAGTATCTAGGCAAGGATATTTTCTCCTCCATGCACAGGAGAGACATATTACAAAATAGAGACTCATTACAAAATGTTATTACTTTATGGTAAAATTGAAGGCGGTCATTTGGCAAGAGCATTGAACTAAAAGGAGATTTAAGCTATCTTTCAGCTTTACGATTAATGATTCATATGATTTTAGGAAAGTCACACAACCTTTCTGAGTGAGGCATGTAAAATATAAAATGAAGTGGGGCTGTTAACATTAACACAGTGTTTTACAAAGTGGGCCTGAATATTGCCTACATCAGAATTTACACGATGTGTTAGAATGCTGATTCCCGAGCCTCACCCCTTACCTACTCAGTCAGAACCTGTGAGGTAAAAGCTAGAAACCTTCGTGCTAAACAAGGGCCCCAAGTGATTGTTATGGATACTAAGGAGTAGGAACAACTAGCTTAGTTCACCTGGAAGGCTCTTTCTAGGTTTAGAATAATCTATAATTCTAATAAATATTTTACTGAGTGTTACAGGTATTACTTAAAAGGTACAGTTTGATCTTTGTGCTAGTGAGAATTAGTTTGACCCATACATTTTGTCTTTTCAGAGAACATCTTGGGGATTTTAGGGAGCACAGAATCCTGCAGGATGGTGTCTTCATGAACTCTTCATGGTCTAGGTCTTTTCCTAATTATTGTACAACCAGAAATTCTATCCAGCCTTATCTTTACCTTAGAGTTTGAATTCTGGAAAATCCAGGTGAAAACATGTACAGCACAAAAATGATGCTTTTCCAGGAGCCAGATCTTCATGTCTCCAAAGCAAATTTCTCTCCCTTGAATAATCAGGATGACCAGGGGCCACTTTTGTCCTCCAGAAACCCATGTCCCGTTGAAAACATCCTCATGTCATCAAGGCCTTCTTCAGGGGAGTAGATACCACCCATTGGGTAATAATCAAGTTAAGCTTCTTGCTTTTGGCCAGAGATCTAGAGTATCCCTTGCCAATATATATTGATCCTATTAGTCAAACTCTCGGAGTTATATAACCATAGCACCAGAAGTCTTCTGTAATGGTATTCCTATGATATGATTCTAGAAATAACCTTTTTAAGTCTTGAGGCCTAGTAGATATAAATCTGGGAGACATCCATGGATTTTTAAAAATAGCTTTTATATTTTGAAATAGTCTTACACAAGAAATTGCAAAGACAGTACAGAGTCCCCCTATACTCTTTGCCCAGCTTTTCCCAATGATAATGTCATATATAACATTGTTAAAATCAAGAAATGAACATTGGTACAATACTCTCAACTCAACTATGGATGTTAGTTATTTTCCACAAAGGCTATTAATGAGGAATTATCAGGGGTCTTTTAGATGCTATAATGTACTTTATATGACCTTTATATTACAAGCAAGAGGCAGAGTAGTATATCAGATACTGGAGTTTTGGAGCCAAACATATAGTTAGTTCCAGACTCTACTGATTACTGGTTGTGTTCATTTTAGGCAAGTTACTTAATTTATCTAAACTGTAGTTTCCTTATCTGTAACATAGGGTAATAAACCTTATTTTATAGGGTTGATATTAGGACTAAATGAGAAGGATTAAGTGATGAATATTGAATGAAAAGCATGTCTCATATTAATAAGAATGCAAAAAGTGGTTCTATACATTTTGAAAATGTATAGGAAATAGTGTTCAGTCTTCTATGGTTTAATTCCTTGTGCATATCTGGTCTTCTTATGTAAAGTACAGAAAAGCAGTGAATAGAAGTGGCTTAAATTTTTTTTTTGTCCTTAAATGTACCAAATTTCTAGTTATTTTACCAAAAATCCAAGAAATATAGAAGCACAGAATATTAGAACTGTAAGAAGAATTAGGGAACCCATGGTCAATCTACCCATGTTAGGAAACTGAAGATCACAGACATTAAAAAAAAGAACAAAGTTACTGTGCTATACTAAAATTAATATTTGGTCTTTTTCTTCAGTTCCTGGCACAAAGGTCCTTTAATCTTTGGGCTCCCTGAGTGATGAGTGTTTTCTGCATGCTAATAAGATGATCAGTGGCTGAGGTTCCCCAGATAGCTTCAGGATGGAAGCTGGTCACCAGAAAGACCAAGGCTTGTTTAGAAGTTTGGAACTTGTAGCCCACTCCCCAACCTCCAGGGATGGGAGAAGGGTTGGATATTGAGTCATTCACCAACAGCTAATGATTTAATTGATCACATCTGTGTAATGAAACCTTTATAAAACCCCCTAAATGAAGGGGTTTGGAGAGCCTGCAAGTTGGTGAACAGATTGAAGTGCTGGGAGGGACCATGGAAGCTCCATGCTCTTGCCCTGTAATCTCTTCCCACTGGTTGTTCCTGACTTGTATCCTTTATAATAAAAATAGTAAGTAAAGCTCTGTCGTGAGTTCTGTGAGTCCTTCTAGCAAATTATCCAACCTGAAGTGGGGAGGCAGTGGTCAAGTTGAACAGAAGAGTGGGTCTCCTGGGGACCTAATACCCATGACTGGCACCATTATGAGAGCATTCCTGTGGGACTGAGCCCTTTGCCTGTAGGGTCTGACACGGACTCTGAGTAGTTAGTGTCAGAACTGAATTGTAGGACACCCAGTTGGTATCAGAATCGGTTGGTGTCAGGAGGAAAACAAGCCTGTCCTTTGCACAGCCAACATGTGGCAAATGGGGACCTGAACTCAGGTCTCTTAAGTCTACTACTTACATACAGCTCTTCAAATAGGAAAAGAACGTTGCCTCAGCTTTCATAGAAGAAATGTACGTAGCAGTTGCTGACTGGTGAACTCCGGTTCTCAGCCGCAAAGAAGGGTGGGGTGGCAGGGTGAAATACAATATTGTCCCTGATTCTGTTGTCTCAATACTTACCTAATAGTAAACTTTTATTCTGTCTGCCAGGGATTGCAAATTTTTATCCTCTACACTGTGAGAACAAAAGTCTTCCAGAGCAAAGCGTCCGAAGTGTTGAAGTCGTTGTCGTCCACTGCTGGGAGGGTGAAGGTGCTGCCGTCAGCGCCGCTGAGGCTGCGTGTGAGGATGTACAGCATGATCAGGTCACTCCCAGCCCTGCAGGAGCGTTTCAGGCTGCTGGAGCCGTCCACACTTAGCGAGGAGCTGTCCGAGGGCGAGCGAGGGAGCCCAAGCATCTAGACACTGGAACTGTCCCGTCTTGTGGCCCTCTTTTTATTCGGCTCACTTTTTCTATTTCCTTCCTTTATTATCCAGTCTTCTCATAAAATCTCCCTCAGTATATTTTGCTTAAAGTTAAGACTTAGATAAAACTTGTTGTTTATTATCATCAGGAATGGTGGATTTGGTAGTTTTTCTTTTATTCAATAGAGTCTTACCCCAGTGAAGTGAAGAATTCCACTCAGCTTTCAAGATAAGTCAATTATCACTGCTCCCTACATCATTAAGTCTGTGTGACAAAGTTTGATAAAAATATAGAACCTAAAACAAATTCTTTTACAATTTACCAAAAGGGACACCATTTTGTTACTCCCCAGAACAAAATGGTTTCTGGTCAACACTACAAGGAGTTGCTTGTATGCATCATACTTCTGATCTTTGAATATTTTAAATTTGTATGTGCTTATACTTTTATTTCGAGTCAAGAACTTTGCACTTATTTAACCTCTGGAAAGGGTTTTTTTTTTTTTTTTTCCCTGTTAAAACAAAAAGCATATATTATGCCCAGAGGAATTGACTCCATGAGAATTGGGACGTGAGACACAGAAAAATGAGCTGGTTGCTAAAGCCTCTATTTCCTTCCAGTTCTGGATACATCTATCCTTTTATTGATGAAATGACAGTGAGGCTCAAAAAATGAAAAGTTAGTCACTATCGTCCCTTATGACTTCTTTTTTTTTCATTTATTTTTATTAGTTGAAGGCTAATTTCTTTACAATATTGTAGTGGTTTTTGCCATACATTGACATGAATCAGCCATGGATTTACATGTGTCCCTTGTGACTTCTAAAAGATCCAGCTGCTCATGAGGTTTCAAACACTTGAATTATGAATGGCTTCCTAAATAAAAAATGACCTCCCCTGGCTTGGAAAGAGTACTCCCACTGGACTTCGGAGATAGAGTCTTTGAAATGCTATGTTCTGTCTTGTCATAAACGAGGCACTTGCTGTGAGTGCCCTGAGCTAAGGGACTAACAAATGTCAAGTAAGCCGTGGCATACCATTCTCACCATGCCTCAAAGAACATGTGTTTTCTATAGAAATGGTTGTAAATGACTGTCAGATTTCTAGGTGAGCCAAGAGCCTACTCCATCTGTAGTATAATTGAGACCTTAAAGGATAATGGAAAATGTAAGTAAAGCATTGTAATGTAAATGTAATGTAAAGCAAATGTAATGTAAAGTAAAGAATAAGTAAAGCAATTCACTGAGGGCAGTGTTTTTAGAGGTGTTATAGGCACATCCCTAGACAGGGGCTGGGCTTTGGGAAAATTACAAGATGCGGTTGACCTACTCGATGTCCTGGTTTATATTCAGATGAAAATAAACCTTAAGTGGAGGCCACTTTAAATGTGGAAAAAAATCACCAAAGAGCGACATTTAGCCTGAGGGTGAAACATGTGTTCCCTTGGTGGTTTTAGTTTTCTATGTACTTTTTCCAGCATTATGGGAGGTGCAGCAAATCGAAATTTCATATACCATTCCTGGGAAGGCTCTACCATAAATGCAGAAGAACCACGTACTGTGCGTGTTGTGGAGGCTAAGTCGGGCGAACACTGATGTTCCCCTACCTTCCCTGAAATTCTGCCTCTTGGAAATAATTCTATTGATTTAAGCCTGCACTGGTTGAGAATCTTTTTTCAATTTAGTGATCCAACTTAAGGGGAACCACCATCCTGACTTTGGGGTTTCCTTTCCTGGGTCTTAACAATTCAGAGATTACTGTTCGTCAGTCTGAATTATTTTTTCTCTTACCCTTTCCATTTTGAAGTTCATGTTGCCTTTTTTTCCACCCCCCCTGTTACCAACAAAAGGAGATCATTCTCAAGCCCACTGTCATTGCCTCCTTCAGAAGAGCTTGGCATTCTTGGCCAATGCTTGGAAAACCTGGGCCAGAAGTGCTGACTGTATTATACCAGCCATTCAGCCACTGGAGCTCTCTAGCCCTGTGAGATCCCCTTACTGTGACCCTGGGATCTTCAGGACCTGGCTCCTCAGATAAGGCCCAAGTAGAGCCACCAGGATTGGTTCCAACCCCAGGGGCGGGGGGTGGGGTGGGAAACATAGGGCTAGAGGGGGAGGGGCCAGTTACTAGGAGAGGAAGAAGCTTCCTGTTTACATTTTTAAAAACCTTCTGCTAACCATATTATGGCAATTTTAGATCTTTATAAATTATCTTTTTCAAAAAAGCAAAATCAGTAATTCCCTGACCTATCAATAATGTCTTTTTTTGTAATGTTCCCTTTTACTCTGTGTGTGAATACATAAGAATTTAAACAGCTGTAATTATAGCAAATGAAATTCATTCTGATTTATCCTGACAGTTGCCCACTTGTTGCAATAACTGCATAATATAGCATAAGTTACCAAGTGGTTCTGTTACTGAATGTCTGTGTGCTACATTGTTTCAGTCATGTCCGACCCTTCCGCCCACCAGGCTCCTCCGTCCACTGGATTCTCCAGGCAAGAATACTGGAGTGGGTTGCCATTTCCTCCTCAAGGGGATCTTCCCAACCCAGGGATCAAACCCCCTTACATCTCCTGAGTTGGCAGGCAGGTTCTTTACCACTAGCACCACAAAGTCTAGATCATTTCAATTTTTAATATTATAGTGACATATGATTAATAAACTGGTATATATTTTTCCTTTCTTTTAAATTATTTCCTGAAGATAAATTCTCAGGATGATGATAAACATGTCAAAGGGATGAACATTCAAGTTCCTTGTATATACTATTGTCTTGACAAAAATGTGACCAACGTCATGGAGTGCCATAAACAGTTTTTCGTATACTGTTTACTTTGGTGGTGTTTAATTTTTTAAATTATTCATAGGTGTATGTAGTCCACTTATCAATTGAACTGTTATTTTTTCTCATAAATTTGTATGAATTCTTTTCTATTATGGCTATTAGCCCTTTATTACATTTAGTGACAATATTTTCCCCCAGTTTGTTTCCTCTCTTTATAATATAATAAAATGCTCACTCTGCATTTGATTCAAAATATCCAAAAGATTTATGGGAGCATTTAGCATTTCTTGAGTTTAAATGTCTTCATGCAGGCAGAGTATTTTGAATTAAGGAATGATTTTGTATTAGGGAGTAGGTTAGGGATTATGTAAAAACTTCTAAAATGAATAACAGGGGTATAAATATGCCAACCATGGCCAAAGGAATCATGTATTACAGACGCAGGCCATCTCTCACCCTTCATTATATCGTGTAACAGTTGGGTGGAGTTCCATGACAAAGTTATTTTTTCCTCTCCAACATGCTTTCTTTTTGCATCTGTCCACCCTTTCTTAAAATAAAACACTAAATCTTGGAGAAGATTAGCAACTATCTGTTAACACACACACAAAAACCTCAGGGAGATTCAAATGTTACACATGCATCATCTGTATTACTTCACTTACATTAAAATGTCTATTTGAAAAAAATATATAAAAGCTGCTGAAAAATAGAGTAAGAAAATCAGGAGGAAGAGAAAATAATCATAGGAGCAATAAGTAAGAAGAGAAGGACAAGATCAGTACCCAGGGAACATGTCTGGTGAGCTTATATTTTTGCTATAAAAAGTGCAGGAGACCTGAGTTCAATCCCTGGGTCGGGAAGATCCCTGGAGAAGTGAATGGCTACCCACTCCAGTGTTCTTGCCTGGAGAATTCCATGGACAGAGGAGCCTGGAGGGCTACTGTCCAAGGCGTTGCAGAGTCACACATGACAGAAACAACTTAGCACATACGCATACAATATGGAAGTTACACAATACAAAGACAGTGCACCTTAGGAATCTTCAGTCTCTCAAGTGGGTCACTGAAGACTGTTTTTGTTTGGTTTTTAAAAAATACAGAAGTGGTTTTCCTTAATTTTGGTTATTGGAGTTAATTCTGTTTTGCTTTCTTTTTTTAACTTTTAAAATGAACTTCATTGCCATATAATTTACATGCAATAAAATGCACCCATTTTAAGTGTATAATTAGATGAGTTTTAACAAATGTGTACACCTGTGAAACAAGATTAAGAACATTTCCTTCACCCTGTAACCTACTCTGCCCCAGTTAAAGCTTACTTCACCCTTCCCAGCTCCAGGCAACCACTTGTCTGCTTTCAACCACCATGTATTAATTTTGCCTGTTCCAGAATGCCATGTAAATAGAACCATATCCTCTTTTGAGTCTGGCTTCTTTCATTCAGCATAGGGTCTTTGAGATTCATCCATGTTATATATATATCATTGGCTTGCTTTTTATTGCTGAGTAAAATTCAGTTTGGATAGATCATGTTTTGTTCATGTATTTACTAGTTGAGGGACATTTGGTCATTTCCAGGTTTTGAAAACCACGAATAAAACTGATACAACCAATCTTCTATAAGTCTTTGTGTAGATATGTTTTCTCTTGAAATATCTAGTATAGTGTAATACTGAGTCATAGAATAAGTGTATATTTAACTATGCAGGAAACTGCCAGTTTTGCAAAGTAGTTTTGCCATTTTATACTCTCAGTAGCAATATACGGGAATTAGTAAAGTCCTGATTTTTGAATTGTTTCAAAAAGTGGGAAAAGGTCATAAATTCTTTTTGCAAGCGGTTGACCACGTTTCTGAAAGCTCCGATTGCTTGATATGTTAGCCCTTTATTTTAAAAAAGAAGAAAAAAATAAAAGCAAAGCAGAGTGGTATGATCTTATGCTGTTATCTCTTAAAAGCTGTGTTTCCCAGGGAACTATAGTCCAATTCTTATCTTTTTCCGGTAGAGTTTTGTTACACGTGGAAGTATCACACTGATAATTTGCTGAACTTTGATATAATCTGCTATGAAATCATGACATATTGAGACCTCTTGGACCTTTGCAATGACAAAAAATTTGATTTTTCTGCCATGGTACCTACCAAGTAATAGCAGACTAGGGCAGCATTCTGGACCGGCGGTTGTGGTTTCAGCTACAAGTTATGTGAC